TCGAAACGTCGTGATTTAATTTACTTTTATTTATTTTTTATTTCTATTTTTTTATTTTATTTTATTATTTTTCATTTTTTAACCTACGTGACTTTACCGAAAGAAACAAAGAGTATAGTCCTGTCATAGTTTGACCACTGTTAACTTCCTACAAAGTGGTACTAATTATGTTGAACCCAAAGGAATGATAGGCCGAGTACACCCCCAGCAAGAATATAAATTTACAAACCTTTTATTGCGTCTCATGCACTCCGACACATGACAACACAGTGGGAGCTTGTACAGTGTATAATGTAGAGAGCCCTTTGTCCAGCCACTGCTGAGTAAAAGCCTCTCAACTCTGTCGGTCGTATGGGTTGCTTGACTGTACTCGCCATGGTGGCAAGAAGATGCTATCTCCCTCGCCTGGTGTGCGAGAGGTCATGGGTTCGATCCAGAACTTGACGATGCATGTACATTTGGAGTTTGTGTGTACTCTCTGCCCCGTGGTGATCGCGTGGATTGTTTTTCGGGGTGCTCCGGTTTTGCGCTCCACGTTTAGAAACGAGCCTTTAGATTATTTGGCTGCTACTATCCATTCCCACGTGGGGTGATGATGCGAGCCACTTCGATGTTCTATCATGTGTGACCAGGTCGCCTCTGAAAGTAAAATTGTTTAGCTTGTTTAGTTTAGTTACCACGTTAGTCAGTGCAAGTTTGTGAAGGGGGAGTTGGGGGAAAGACTGATTAAATACAACTGCAGTAGATATTATTGAAAATGTAAATCCTTTGCGGCTGTTTGCAAACTATAAATGCGACCAAAACGTAGCTTATGAACCACACATTCTACTGTATTGAAGGTTGGATTTGCGGAATGAAAATCTAAATCGAATATAATAGATTAATAATACGTGTAAACAACAAATAGTAGTTTAAGAGGAACTATTCCTTTGTCTCAAGCGTGCTAAAACTTCGATTTAAAGCTTTCGTGACTGCAAGGATTCATATTCTTGGTTCTTTCGGAAAAGTCACGTAGAAGGGAAATAATAAAAATATAACATAATAAAATTCTCACGACGTTTCGGCCGTGATAATTTTATGATGTAATATTTTTATTATTTTATTATTTCCCTTCTACGTGATTTTACCGAAAGAACCAAGAATATGTGCTAAAACTTGTTTTAGGGAGACTGCCAGGCAACTTCAGGGTTAGAGCACTGATCCAGCACTGTTGGGATCTTGGGTACGAGCCTTGGGTCTGAGTGTCTCTCAGCTAGTTCATAATGGCTGTGTCAGAGACATCGAGCTGAGATCCTGGGGTTACAATCCGGGCAGCCACCCGCGATTAACGCGGGTTCTTAAGTGTAACGAATTAATGGTCTCAGTCCCGTCAGAAATAAATGTGGTTTTTCACTGAATTTGTCAAGAATTCTCTGGCTCTGAGAGTGAAAACAAAAGCATCTACACCACTGGAACCTCATTTGCCAGTAAAAAATATGATAATTGGTTTTTTACCCTTCTATCTGGCAACAAAACTGACACCTGAAAAAAAGTTGTCAGTTTTGTTGCCAGATAGAAGGGTAAAAAACCAATTATCAAAAGCATTTACTTTAACAGCACCCATAGTGTAGATATTAGGTCACTTGTCGGGATCTCAGCAATAGTTCTGTGAAATCACCTTCCTTTTGGGCCATTCGTTTCTTCTCAAACACGACATCTTGCACCGTTTTGCGGAGTTCTTCTTACGACATGGGCCCGAGAGATCAATTGGAACAAACTTGTAAAAAAAGACCACGACTAATAATGAAAAAAATATATTTAAATCATTGTTATTTGTACAGAATATGCTGCTGAAGACAGCGAGTGTGCAGAGTTACATTTTAAAACCCAAAGTCAATTGTTTTGTTGCTCTGAGAGACTTTTTAAAGCCAGTTCCACTGTGCAAATGAGCAAAGATCGATGTACTGCTAAATTGTTAGTGCCCTGTCAATAGACTGAAGTTCGTGGAGTTTGTGAAACGTGAGCCCTCAATGCCTCCCACACGAAGATGACATGAAAAGAGAAGCCAAGACGAACTACTTTGGAATCTTTGGCTGCCTCAATCCCCTGGCTGTCATACGAAAGCTATCGGGTTTACAAATTTCTTTTGCACATATTGTGCAGTTCCATTTTCAAAAGCAATTACTTTCAACATCGTATTGTTAACATTGTTGAAGGAGTGATTGCGGGGGATCTATTTTTTGTCAATAAAGATATCAGTGTTTTTTCGGTTGTTTTAAAATACGAATGTATATTTTGTATACCAGTCACCTTGCACTGTATGGCGCTCATTTAATGAGTATAGTTGTCAGGTTGTAGCTACTAACTTGGGTGGTTCTTACAATTGTCGTCAAGGCATTGAACACAAATGTTTCCACACAAGCCAGTATTGTGACAAATGTAATCTACAAAAGAACGTCTGAGAATCAAAATTCCTACTCCAACACAAGACGTGCTCTGTGATGTCGAGGCCACACCATGAAGCACACATTGAACGACTGCAGTCCAGGGTTTCCCGAACTCCGATCCTTACGATCAACCATGCAACGTATCTCTGCTTTTACCAGTACTCCTTCCATTCAATACAAATTAACTCGTTCCATGGTGCACAAGCCCGACGATGATTGTTAAACGCACCCCACGCGACACGCTAAGAAATTAATAAGAATACAGGGTGTTTCAATGTTATTTTTTTACCACTTCTGAGAATTTGCAACAATACCACAAGCTATGTGCCTCCGGGCTTTGGAGACCGCCTGCAGAGGGATTCCAGGCGTGCGTTGACAATGATGGCGAACAAGTGGAGACTCTTTGATTCTTTGAAGCTATTAACATACATTTGTTATCATGTTACAGTGTATCATCCGTTCTATTTCCATTATAAACGATCGTCCCATATAAGTGTAAAAAAATGTTGAAGCACCCTGTATAATAACCTCGGGTTTCTATAGCACAAGGCCTCAAAGCGCTGCACGTGAAGCTTAAGTTATGGTGAGGCTGAGTCGACCTGAATAAACACCAGGTGAGTTCATCTTCTTGGTTCTTTCGGTAAAGTCACGTAGAAGGGAAGTAATAAAATAATACAAATAAAACATAATAAAATAATTCTCACGACGTTTGTTTTATTTTTATTATTTTATTACTTCCCTTCTACGTGACTTTACCGAATGAACCAAGAAGATGAATCCTTGCAGTCACGAAAGCTTTAAATCGAAATTTAACCAGGTGAGTTTTAAGACGCGTTTAAAAAGTGTGCAGAGCTCAGATTCCCGAATGGGCCGAGGAAGGGAATTCCACGATCGCGGAGCCTCCGTGTGCGTTCATAAGAACCGATTCAAATTAAGGTTGAGATCTCAAAAAGTGTGTGTGTCTGCGCGCGTTCCATTTTGCAGGGAGCGGTGGGGTAACGGTTAGCGCTACGCTGCGCTACGAACCCGGGGACCCTGAGTTCGATTCCCGCTCACGGCCAACACCGGTGACGATTATCTGAACTGGTCCTGGGCCTCCCATCCTCCCTCCCTCCCCCAGGTCGACTCAGCCTCAAATGAGTAGTTGGTGCGGTGTGGAAACATTGCCACGAGGCAGACAGATGCGGAGCAGCGTTGTTGCTGGTCACCCACTCACGCCTCGTGTGCCGTGCCGACCTTCATAGGTGCTACTCGCTAACAGCAATTGCCCCAACAGTCTGTTAAGGCTACACGGGGGGGTCGTTGTCTTTGTATTCCACGTGACACAAACAGCGTCAATTGCTTCGTGCTTCACGTGGCACGCGTTTAACAATCGGGCGCGTGCGGCGTGGAACGATTTCAGTCGTATTTGACTGGGGAATTAATTTGGTAAACAGGGAAAGGGGTTGCGTGGTGGGTCGCGATGACTGGAGTTTGGGAGACCCTGCGCGACACCGATATACACCACACGCCGTTGTATCTTCCTTTAATTGCCCCCATGCTTCTCCTTCCACAGCCCTCTCCAAGCTGTTGCACATCCCCTTTCATTTGAGCCTCTCCCCACAATTCTTTCAGACACAAAAACGCCTCCCGATTCAACTCTCCATTTGTGGACGCCCCACACACCCCCTCCCCTCCATACAACGCATGGATGTCAAACTCCGCGCGCTACATGCCACTGGGCAGGTGGCCCGGCTCAATTGAAGACTTGGCGCGTCTCTCCCACCCCGCCACACCGCAAAGCAGAGGGGGACATTCCTCACAATAGTCTTAGCACGTGCGCCCGCGTCGTTCGAGACTCAAACAAACCCCTGACCTTTTGAACCGATGCCTGCAAGGCAAATGCTCTTAACATAACGGGTCAGTGGTAATCTCTAAAACAAGGCTCTGGTTCTAAAGGGGCACGGCCTTCTTGCCCCGTTTCCTTGCCAAAGATTGCCGAGGAATTCCCCTTGGTTTACCATGACGGGGGATTAAAAGTCGCACGAGCTGAAAACAGGGAAAAATATTCAACGCAGTTCATTTCCATGATGCCGACCCATCGCTGAATTTCAAGGGGAAATGACACGCAGATAGTAACTGGGATTTGTGAGTTTGTTTTCTCTCTCTTTGAAACTACTGCAATGGCATACTTTTGACATGAGTAATGTGGGAGATGTTAGTTTATATAAGATTGCGACTGAAAACAAACACTTGTAAGGTCATTTTTTTCTTTAAAAAAATATATTTTTGAAAATAATTATCTAATATAGTTTGACTATGTGAAAGCAAATTAAGCTTTAGATGAAAACTTTAGCCGTAGTAATTATCAATAATAACGCCACAATTGGGTCTTGCAATGACTGAATGATGGTGAGAGTTCAGTTTTGTTTTAGTAAATAGTGTAACACATTTTTGTATAGTTTTTATTGATTTTTTTTTTACTTACTTATGCAACATCTTTCAACGTGGTCATTGTGTGATGTGAAGTCAGCAAAACGACACCATTATTATTAATATTATTTAATACTGTATTTACAACAATGAACACAAATACAGAGGCGTCAGGAAATGTTTAGCAAAAATAATAATAATAGGAGAGCACACTTAATGCAGGGGGGGGGGAGAAGCCAATTCTGTAAATAAATATAAATAATTTAAATAAATAAGCAAAACAGAACCGATTGTATTTTCATGAAGAAGAAGAAAATCCCAATTGCTAAAAGAAAAATAGCTACAAGATAAGGCACACATAAGGTAAAGATAGATACATGTAGTGATAATCAATAATTAAAATGAAAGTTTAAACGTTTATCGTTTTTTAAGATACATTTTGCTTACCTAAACATCATAGGAGTATTTATTTTTTTACTCTGTATTACTTACAACTGCATATACAATATTGGTACCTTGACTTGAGGTCAATAAAAAGGTGCTTTTTTAAAGCAATGGGCAACAACGCAGCCAATTTCAAATATCAGATCCATTGGTTAGCATGACAACTTTTCACCGATGCAAAAATTCCACACAAATGTTACATCATTGTTAATAACATTGTTTGGATGATGAACAATTATACGTCACTCTTATTATTATAAGTGCACTTCTTTTGTCAAGAGATTTTTTTGTGTTTACCGTTTAATGTCTATTCATATTTCCATTCCAATTTAAGTCAAGGAAGCACACAGGACAAAATTGCATAAAAGGTACTATAAAAGTAATAAAAAAAAACAATAAAATGATGAGTGATTACAGTATCTTTGGTAAAATTAAAATGGATATCATGAAATCAGTACATTGAAAGGCCACTTTGAAATGCTGTACAACAACACACACGTACACCACGGTTTGATTGTCTCGCCTTTACACTAAATGTAAGATATATACACCGTACACTCTCATTTGATCGTTTTGTACATGTAGCTCATCACAAAACCTATTAAATGTTAAGTAATTAAACTTACAATTATTACCCCATTTGTACACAATATCCCAATTATTGGAATGCAGGACGATTACCCCTGTATCAAATGATAAACATTAAGAACTCGCTTTCAGACGTACTTCATACATTGTTTAAAATATACACGCTGACCTTGATCCAATGGACGTATATTTGTCCAACCAGCTTGCCACATGCAATGTACTGCAAAGCGAGTTCTGTGGATGTATTTGATCCACCTATGATCATGTGTGCAGCAATAGACCCGATATAAAATGTTTCACCATATTGATAGCAAAAGCAGGACACATTTACATTATAATAGAAAATATTACATTTAAAATAAACAAAACAGGTAACCTAATAACCATCTATTAAAAGTACTTTCATCAATGTGCCTCAATTTGCTGTGCAAATTGCATCCACATGAACTAAACATGCAGCTTTATTATTCGTTCAGGGCTAAAGTATGTACAGACGTGTTCACTCATTACTGTTGCAGGACGTTGATTAGTATCATGATAGTTGATGGTTTAAAAAATATTAACAAAGTGAACGAACGTGTTCCGTTAAGCATTTCATTTTTAAGATCTACAATCTTACTCCAACATTTTCGTATGCAGGGAAGTATTGCAGCTCTTGTTCATTCTTGTGCACGTGAAGTTTAGACTTCCACACGTGCAACATAACGTCTCCCTAAATCACAATTGTTTTGCTTTTCTTTCTGCTCTGACGTTGTGAAACTTCTCTCTCCGACGCTCGTTTATGTCCGCACCGCATTGGCAAGCTGGACTCGGAGGGTCTGGATGCTGGTCATAATTCTCTTCTGATGTCCGGCTAGGGTCACTCCAAGTCTTTGTAGGTCACTGTAGGAGTCACAGAAGTTCATGTTAAAATGTAAAAAGGAACAGACAATTTTCGATTTAAAGCTTTCGTGACTGCGGGGATTCATATTCTTGGTTCTTTCGGCAAAGTCACGTAGAAGGGAAATAAAAAAATAAAAATAATAAAATATTAGTATTTTTATTATTTTATTATTTCCCTTCTACGTGACTTTTTCCCGAAAGAACCAGGAATAGGAACAGCTAAATACACTCATATGGGTCACCGCTAAATTCATCACTGACTGCAGCAGCCCATAAGTAAACTCTGTTAAGTCATACTTGCTATTTATGCCCATTTATAAATTGGCTTCCTGCTTCCAAAATGCCAAGTGCTAAACTACATTTATGTCTCAGCAGTATGGACGGCATCTAAATGAGTGCTGATGTTAACATGATGTCAATGTGACTATGTCTCATTGTCCGATCCAAATGACTCACATTGACAAGTTGAACCAAGTTCCTTATGCAATCGAGTGTCAGTTTCAATATATTCGGGAACATGTCTACTATTCTTTGGTTCTTTCGGTAAAGTCACGTAGATAAAAAAAAGAACGTGAATAAAAATAAAAAAAATAAAAAAAATATTTTAATGTTATGTTTTTAAAATATTTTTCTTATTTTATTTAAATTTTCATTTTATTTTATTTTTATTATTCTTTTTCTATCTACGTGATTTTACTGAAAGAACTAAAGAATATGAATTCCTGCAGTCACGTAAGTTGAAAGTAAAAAATGTAACATCTACTGCTCTGTATAAATAGCATAACTATAATCAATCTAAGCATTACTATGCATGTGGCGTCTGTTATACATATAAAGATACATATAGAATGTGATCTGTGCAAAACATTGTTGCTATGTACTGCATGTATTGATTATTGTTCCCTCCAAAGCAACTACAGTTGACGGAATGCCACACACTAGTGCATACAATCTACTGAGACATTTCCATCAACAGACAGAAATGGAACAAAGCACATTCATGAGTAAATGGATGGCTGCTTTAAATAATTAGTGAATGATACTAAATAATTAAAAGTTGCATCCATTTTTATCCCTGGCCTCCCTTGTGAAGAAAGATTATTGTCTCGACGGATTCTCACCCGTTACAATAAACATAACTAATTAATGAGTGCAATTAATTCAGACAATATCAGCAGGCTAAAATAACGTTGGGACGTATTTCATTAAGGATTCTGCATGAAAAACAGGAGCCCCCGAACAAAATAAAATATTGGTCGGTGCCAATTCCACCGTCTTTAGCAAAAGAAACTTGAGCACGACGGTGCAGCGAGGCTTACTCCGGTGTCATCTGTGCGACGGCAGGCCACGACACCAAGCCAGCGTTGGTGAAGTTCTCCTTGTAGCGTCCCATCTTGATGTCATCCAGCCACTCCCCCACCGAGCAGAACATCGTGTACTCCGGAGCCTTCCTCTCCAGCAACGGGTTCGACAGCCTGTCGACGTGCGGCGAAAGGGCCCGATTCAAAATTATGGGCGGAATTTTTTATTTCCAATTGTTAACCATAGCTTTGGATCCCACAAGCGCCTGGAAAGATGCAGTTTCTTTTAACACTGTAGGCCACAAATAAGCATCATTGGGTTCACACCAATTTATAGGTCAGTTGAAATAAAATAAAAACTATTTAAAACGAGTATTTTTATTTTACCAGGTCAGGCTCAATGAGCTATATACCTATTTTTCAGAAGCGACCCGACCCCAAATGATAGCTCAACGAAGTGGCTCACCATCATGTGGCCGTTTTAAGCAGCCAAATACTCTAAGTGGATGTTTATAAATGTGGAGGGAGAAACCGGAGGACCCGGAGAAAAATCCACGCGAACCCATGACATCCTGTATACCAGGCGAGGTATTTGACATCCTGCCACCGGGATACCCAAATTGATTTGCGGAGCAGAGGCAGGTCACCACTATGATGAGAACATTTAGTATTTGCACCATTATATCTGACAGAAAACAAGCTAGCCTTTAGGTAATGTGTATATAGAAGGAGCCCTGCAATTGGTCGCTCACACCACTGCTGATGGAATGGCCTCCACTGAAGGGAGCTCTGTACAGAGACCATCTGGAGAGTATTTGGCCTGCTCATTTAGCTGGCCAGGCATCTTAGAATTAGGTCAGATATAACCCACAATCACGCCACCATGAATAAGCTGCCGATCGACGACCTGCAGTGCTACTCATTTGTACTGCTGGGTAGACAGAGGTGGCAAGATTTTACTTGTCCTGATTTTGTTATATCTGCTGCATCCAGAGATCTAATTGAACCAGCGACCACTCAATTGTCATCTCAGTGGCGGTCAATCATTGCACCATGGCAGCATCGAGCACTTTGCAATCACGGGGGAGGCAGTAGGCCACGCGAAGTGCTCACTCGACGCTGGACTGCGAGGTGGCGTGCAGGCTGACGGGGTTCTGCAGGAGCTTGTCCAGGTAGGCGTGGATCTGCGCGAAGTTGGGCCTCTCAGTGCGCTCCTTCTGCCAGCAGTCGAGCATGAGCTGGTGCAGCGCCGGCGGGCAGTCCATGGGCGCCGGCAATCGGTAGCCCTCCTCGATGGCCTGGATCACCTGCACAATGCAACAAAATCGTGAGCACCCTCGTGGCAGTGAAAGTCAGATATGGGGTGTGGCGTGCATTGATTGGCTATGGATATGTTCAACCGTTAACACTGAAAGGTTGTTGTAAAATGTGGCCAGAACATAGGCGAGGTTTAGCACCATGGCATAACCCGTTTGGACCATGAATCTGAACTCATTATTATTCCACTGCTGGATGAAGGCATATCAAATAACGTCATGCCTAGTATTTGTAGACTTAAAATATATTTTTTGCAATGAAGCACTGACAAAGCTAGGCTTAAATTAAAAAGTAAAAACACGCATCATTTTTATTGTACATCTAAAATGTCAGTGTGAGAGCAACCATTTATATATCGGATGCATGGCGGCAGGTAAAATATGGAATCTGACTGTTTTCTTTCTTCCTCGTTGCCAAATTAAGTTAATTTGTGAGGTGTGATGATTTCAGGCGAGTGTGGACTTTTGTTAAATTCATAAAGAGCTGTAAAAAGGCATTTGTTTGTGATTTCCTGTGGCTCTTGTTCGGGATTGTTTTAGTTTTACGTGAATACACAGAAGCCGTAAATTATTTGTAATGTCAGTCAATAATTCATAACACTGATTAATATTGGATGTTTTTTGTTGTTGGCATTTTAAAATGAATTTAACATTGTAATACATAATTCGCTGTGACACATTGAATGCAAAAGGGACTTAAATATGCAATAAGAGTAAAGAAAATAAATACATAATGTATACATTATAATTAGTAACTATCAGTACTATCATAAAAACAACAAGACCAAATTATATATATCATGCAGCATACATGCTGGGTTCATTGTATTTTTTATACGTCTGGTTTAATACGTTTATAAACCACACTACGGAGATGAATTCCAAAGGAGACCATCATCCAGCAGGAGATACATTTAGACGATGATGATGATAGACACCTTCTTGGTTCTTTCGGTAAAGTCACGTAGAAGGGAAGTAATAAAATACTAAAAATAAAACACAATAAAATAATTCTCACGACGTTTCGGCCACAACACAAGCAGCCGTCCTCAGGTGAAAACCAGGTCCGTCGAGGCGACAGAGTCTGACTCTGTCTGACTCTGTCGGACTCTGTCACCTCGACGGACCTGGTTTTCACCTGAGAACGGCTGCTTGTGTTGTGGCTGAAACGTCGTGAGAATTATTTTATTATGTTTTATTTTTATTATTTTATTACTTCCCTTCTACGTGACTTTACCGAAAGAACCAAGAAGATGAATCCCTGCAGTCACGAAAGCTTTAAATCGAAAGATGATAGACACGCTTACAATTAAGGATTAACACTCACGTCCTGGTTGTTCATGTCCCAGTAGGGCCTCTCTCCGTAGGACATGACCTCCCACATGAGGACTCCAAAGCTCCACACATCGCTGGCCGATGTGAACTTGCGGAAGGCGATGGCTTCTGGGGCCGTCCAGCGGATGGGGATCTTGCCTCCCTGCGCGCAGCAGAAACAACAACAACAACAGCTCTTATCAGCTTCCATAATGATGCTAGCCATCTGTTGAGATCCTAGGTCTTAGTGAATCGCGTATCAGAAGTATCATTCTGAGACTTCGAGTGAGTCTCAGTGAGTGAGTGTGAATCCCCACTGTGAGTCTCTAGGCTGGGTGGTGATGAGTCTCAGTGAGTGAGTGTGAATCTCCACTGTGAGTCTCTAGGCTGGGTGGTGATGAGTCTCAGTGAGTGAGTGTGAATCTCCACTGTGAGTCTCTAGGCTGGGTGGTGATGAGTCTCAGTGAGTGAGTGTGAATCTCCACTGTGAGTCTCTAGGCTGGGTGGTGATGAGTCTCAGTGAGTGAGTGTGACTCTCCACTGTGAGTCTCTAGACTGGGTGGTGATGAGTCTCAGTGAGTGAGTGTGAATCTCCACTGTGAGTCTCTAGACTGGGTGGTGATGAGTCTCAGTGAGTGAGTGTGACTCTCCACTGTGAGACTCTAGACTGGGTGGTGATGAGTCTCAGTGAGTGAGTGTGAATCTCCACTGTGAGTCTCTAGGCTGGGTGGTGATGAGTCTCAGTGAGTGAGTGTGACTCTCCACTGTGAGTCTCTAGGCTGGGTGGTGATGAGTCTCAGTGAGTGAGTGTGAATCTCCACTGTGAGTCTCTAGGCTGGGTGGTGACGAGTCTCAGTGAGTGAGTGTGACTCTCCACTGTGAGTCTCTAGGCTGGGTGGTGACGAGTCTCAGTGAGTGAGTGTGAATCTCCACTGTGAGTCTCTAGGCTGGGTGGTGATGAGTCTCAGTGAGTGAGTGTGACTCTCCACTGTGAGTCTCTAGACTGGGTGGTGATGAGTCTCAGTGAGTGAGTGTGAATCTCCACTGTGAGTCTCTAGACTGGGTGGTGATGAGTCTCAGTGAGTGAGTGTGACTCTCCACTGTGAGACTCTAGACTGGGTGGTGATGAGTCTCAGTGAGTGAGTGTGAATCTCCACTGTGAGTCTCTAGGCTGGGTGGTGATGAGTCTCAGTGAGTGAGTGTGACTCTCCACTGTGAGTCTCTAGGCTGGGTGGTGATGAGTCTCAGTGAGTGAGTGTGAATCTCCACTGTGAGTCTCTAGGCTGGGTGGTGACGAGTCTCAGTGAGTGAGTGTGACTCTCCACTGTGAGTCTCTAGGCTGGGTGGTGACGAGTCTCAGTGAGTGAGTGTGAATCTCCACTGTGAGTCTCTAGACTGGGTGGTGATGAGTCTCAGTGAGTGAGTGTGAATCTCCACTGTGAGTCTCTAGACTGGGTGGTGATGAATCTCAGTGAGTGAGTGTGAATCTCCACTGTGAGTCTCTAGGCTGGGTGGTGATGAGTCTCAGTGAGTGAGTGTGACTCTCCACTGTGAGTCTCTAGACTGGGTGGTGATGAGTCTCAGTGAGTGAGTGTGAATCTCCACTGTGAGTCTCTAGACTGGGTGGTGATGAGTCTCAGTGAGTGAGTGTGAATCTCCACTGTGAGTCTCTAGGCTGGGTGGTGATGAGTCTCAGTGAGTGAGTGTGAATCTCCACTGTGAGTCTCTAGGCTGGGTGGTGACGAGTCTCAGTGAGTGAGTGTGCATCCCCACTCTGGTTCTCAGGCTGTGCAAGGAGCGTGCGGGGGGGGTGGGGGGGAGCTGCTCACGTGGGTGGTGTAGACGGCCTGCGGATCGTCCTCCAGCCCCCGTGACAGCCCGAAGTCGGACACCTTGCACACCAGCTTGCTGTCCACCAGGACGTTGCGAGCGGCCAGGTCGCGGTGGATGTAGTTCATGTCGGACAGGTACTTCATGCCGGCCGCAATGCCCCTCAACATGCCCACCAGCTGGACCACGTTGAACTGCCCGTCGTTCCCCTGCAAGGTGAAAACCAAGGGAATGTGAATATAGCGCAGAAAAAAATACATGGTGATCCTTTTTTTCGATATCACACTGAATTTCTCATGACCCTCTTATATATTTTTTTCTAAACACCTGATTGAATATCATGAAAGCAATGGTTCCACATCTTTCAGAGGAGATTGTAGAAGCGTTTCATATGTACACTGCGATTTGAGGCACTCATGTAACAGCTTTAAACTCAAATATTGTTCTCTATAATCTATCCATATTATTACAGAGGGTGTCTATGAATGGATCACCCTGCATGAACGACCATTAATTCTCACACACAAACCTAACTGTTAACTGGGGAAGTTAGAATCTTGTGCAAGGAAGGAATTTAATTTCGTCCCAAAGGTTTAATTATACATAAGTATCAACGTTTTTGTTTTCCATTGAAATATAATTTTTAAAAATGCTGGCACGTAATAAACAATTAACATATATCATTGCATGCTGGGCACCTGTTCCAAAACGTTACACAGGCTCTTTTAATTATAACTTGGCAGTAACTCTTCGAATGATTAGACCCGCTTCTGGAAGCTATGAAAGGAAAAAGTTAAAACAATAAACTCTGCCAACCACAACCTCTCCCAAATCATGCTAAGCCAGAAAATAAGTACTTCTGGTCTCCTCCATTAAAGAAATAAAAATGAATTGCTACAACATGTTTGGCCATCGTAATTAAAATCAACGACTGCAAGGAGTTCAATGCAACACTAATTTTATATATGTTGTAATATATATGCGACTTTTTTTCTCAAACTACGTTAAATATATGCACACAGTATATCAGGTTACGTGCTGTTTCAGTACTTAACGGATGCAAGGATATGCAATCTGGTTTAGGTAAAAGACTATCCTTTTTGGTCAAAGAAAAAAGAAAGCACTCACCCTCAGGAAAGCATCCAGGGAGCCGTTTTCCATGAACTCCGTGATTATCATCACCGGCTTGCCTAGAGGGAAGGAAGGAAAGCCCATCACAAACATTGCCGCAAATAATTACTCCCGGAATGCAACTGGAGTGATAAGGAGTCCTGATGATCGATCGTATCTCAAAGTTAAACCATGACAACACTGTTAACAAAATAAAGGGCTTGTAGGCTGCTTTAAGTGAACTGACGGAGTGACGGAGCAGATAAAAAGAACGAGTAAGCATTGTTACTATCATGGCATAATTCTGCATTTTTGCTTCATGTGCTTTAAATATAAAAACAGCTCGTGTGTGTGTGCTCACTTCGGCTTAGAGTGTACGGCCGCGAGTGCTCTTTTTGCTCGCTCGTGTCGCGTGATTACATCCGTTTTTGTTCTTGTGTGTACATGTGCGCCACTCCCTGTCCTTGTCCTCGCAAGAGTGCCTGTCGATGCACCTGTATGTGCGAGCACATACGCAAGCCTAGGACTAATGTTTGCGTGGCTGTACTTATTCCAACCGTCTATAATTGCGTGCGTCTGTGTTCATGTGTTGCCCAGCAATGTGAGTGAGAATGTGTGTAGAGTGACAGGGTTCCATTTTCAGCCATGGTTAACATCAGTGGCAAATAATTGAAGCAGTAATTTTAGCTGTGACGGTCCCACCTGATGACGGAGACTTGTGTTGCCTCCGAAACGTCGTGATTTATTATTTTATTTCCATTATTACTTTATTAACTTTAATTTTATTTTTTACCTACGTGACTTTACCGAAAAAACTTAACAGTAACAGTCCTGGGCCTCCACGAGGTTGACTCAGCCTTGAACGAATTACCTGCTGCGGTGTGTAAACACCAACCACTGGGACGATGAAAGATGGCCGAGCACGATTGTGACCACACCATCCTCCCATGCACTAGGCCCAACAGCCTGAAAAAGGCAGTGCTGTTGCCAGCACTCGGCGCGTTTGTTCCCGCGCGCCCGCTCGCCCGCTCGGTGCGCTCAGCGACTCACTCTTGGTGACGACCCCCTCCAGGCGGATGATGCTCGGGTGCTCAAACTGGCCCATGATGCTGGCCTCGCTCAGGAAGTCCCTGCGCTGCTTCTCGCTGTATCCGGCCTTCAGAGTCTTGATGGCCACCGGTGCCTCGGCCTGGCCCGGCACGCGCAGGCGGCCCCGGCACACCTCCCCGGACTCGCCTGCACGCCCGCCACAAACATTCATGTTCATCCCCAGATGACCTGGCAAACCCTCACCGTGACTGCAGTCGATATCAGAGCACTGAAAGGGTCGTTGCCTAGAAACACCAGGCAGTTTAGCAGCAGCGATGGTTAAAGAAAACCTGACTGCTGACGAGACGTTAAATGTTCAAACACGTTCCTAAGTTTGCTTGCTTTGAACGCCATGCTGCCGATCAGAAGCACCCCCAACAAGCATGTGAGGCCAATGGTTTGTGCTTAAACAAAATACTTTTAGCTCTTTATGTGAAGAGACAAATATGGGGAAGGGGCATCATTGACTTTGTTATTGAGCCAGCAGTATTCAGTTCACCAGCTAGAATTGTGGTTGGTTAATTGAGATTAACTTAGTCCTCAGCAGAAAGCAATATTTGATGGGCTTAGCCCAGCCACTGATAACTTCACACATAAACCCCAATGTGAAAACATTGGGGCTTCTTTTGGGTTTTGCAGGCCAGTTGGTAAAGTGAATCGCCGAGGGATGAACTCATTAGTTTCACATTATGCGGACAGTGAAATATTCTCTCATCAGTCATCGGTCTAATCGTTGCATAAGGTAGACCGCACGAAGCATTTAGAGCAAAAGCCTGTGCTCATGTTTTTGGATGTTAAATAATGAGATAGATGTGCATTTCTGCCGCTATAGAGAGATCTGTAAAACTTATTATGTAGTTGTCAAAGCGACAGTCGCTCGTGTAGCTGGCAAAATAAAATGAAAAATCTCAAGGGAAACACAGAACCAAAAAATGTATTTACTTTTTAATGAATTTTAGTAAAATAAAATAAAACAATGCTCCCAAAATAGACGTTTGGGTTTGCTTGAGTAGCACTGAAGATTGCTTTTACCCGTGTGTGTGCGTTTCTAATTGGTGCATTTTCAATACCCTTCATCATTGCAGTCATATGCTCATGCAACGGCTTGGCTCATTACCAAGATAATGAACTCCACGGTGGATGCGGTGATAATTGAGGGAAGGAAGCTCAGGGATGGGTCATGGGGGAGGGGGGAATGGCTTCACTGCAATCGCTTCATCTCTGTGCTGTTTATTGGCAACACCGTTGCCCATTGCATCTGTATAACGACGAACAAGTAGGAAGCTTCGCCCGCATTCTATTGCTTTTAAAAAAAAATACTATAATTTTAGGAAATGTGACCAGGTAACTTTAAAACAAAAAGACATTGTAGGAGCCGGAAAAGCAGTGCTATCCAAACCACCTTTTCATAAATAAACGGACCACTGTTCATATTTATAACCATCAATACTTTGGTGAATACAGGATCTCAGTTAACTTACACTGCATGTTTATTCAAAACGTGCCTCTCAATGCGTTAATAAATGAAGTCGCACACAAGCACGTTTGTAATAGGGTTACCACCTGCCCAAGTTTTCCCAGGACCATCCTATTTTATTCTCATATGTCCCGGTATTTGTACTGCAGGGTGGAAAATCGTGAGGCCGTGAGCCTGCATGTGTGGCCACATCCAGGGCCTCACCTGATCCGATAACCTTCTCAATGGTTATCCAGGACGGCTCAATCTCGCGGGCAAATTCCTGGACGGCTTTATTGGGGTCTTCGTACGTGAAGGGGTCAACGTAGTTCCTCCGGTTGGGGAATTTCACTGCAAGGGCCGGAATGCAAACAGGGCACAGAATTAAAGGCATTCAACCCAACAGTGTTAAACAGGGTTGTGAAGATCGCAAAGCGGATGGGAATCTGGAATAAAATGGGTAGGGTGGGTGTTGAACACATGTGTTAATGCTTTTAGGAATGTCCTAATCACCCAGAGTTGGGCTTGTTTTAAATAGGGTGTAAAGGCAAACAGGAATGTAAATCAGAGCAGAGACTGCACTTAACCATTAAGCATGTATATTTAAACGTACTCCTGCTCGCAAATGGAACTTTATATTTCTGTATTTAACCATATTATATTTAATCAATTTTTTTTTCATCTCCCCTTCTTCTGCTCCGTCATCGGGCAGTCTCGTTTCCTCCGCCTGCCAAAGCCACGTACGTGCCAGACACGGCAGTATAAATGCCAGGGCAGATACAAACTCAGGACGACGCCTCTGTACGCCTCTGTGCAGTCGGTGCGTAACCGGCTCATTGTCACACCGTGCGGATATCACAAGTGCTCAACAAGCAGGGCACGCTTTGAAAGAAGCAAAGCCGGAGAAGGTTTGCGTGCTTTTATCTGCCTGCCGTGGCTGCATCAGCGTTAACAATGTCTCTCAAGGGTTGGCAGAGACACCATGGGGGTTAAATTTCAATATCCTGCATGAGGTTTCTTTTGTGCTTCACATCCACTCTGCTTGCAGGAATGTGGATATACTGTTGTCATGGAGACAAGCTGCGGAAATACACCTTTTGCAATGATCTCTTTGCATATTAAGATTGATGTCTGCATGCCAAATCTATTACCCTGTATATATATATATATTCCCGTCAGTTTATCTGAAAGCCATATATGTTTATACATATTTGCCAATTTTTTGTTTTTATTTTCCCTCTTCACCGATTTTGATGAAAAAAACCTGACAGTGAACTTTTAAACATAAAAAAAACACCCCAACGGACAATTTAGAGTCTTTGTTTTGTTATTTTGCTTGGCCGAATTAATTAATTTTAACAGCCTTACATTTCATATAAACATTTTCATCCTCAGCTAAATGCCATGCTTTCCCAGTTAACATCTATATCTGTTTTTTTTAGAGATGAATCTTGAGCTCAACGCCCCCATTAGTTCCACTGTGATGATGGTGCATTGATAAAGATGGAAGGAAGCTATTGTTGATAGTGGAAACACAGATGTCACTTTTTCATGTAAATAAACTTTAAACATAATACGTGCAGCACCGGAGCATGCCAAACCACGTGCTGGGTAGCAACCAAGTCACAATCGTGTACAGTACCCGACATCCAACGTAACTGTACAGCCCTTTGAGTCAACAGGCGGATGGGTAACAGGAAGACGGCGTACAGCGTAGAGCAAAGCCTAATGCATTGTGTCGTTGCAGCTCTGTATTCCGCCATCAATACAACGCTGTTTCACTCTGGGCCCAAAGTGAAACTCGCATCAATTGCCATGCAGCAGTGACCCACAACATACAGAGATCGTTTGTAAAGTTTAAATGATTATGATAGATCTTGTGTCGCCAATGGCGAGAACATTTATTGAGCAAGCAGAACCAAAAGTTGTGAACAATGTTATGAAACTTATTACCATATTACCTGGATTATAAGACGAACTTTTATCCTTTTTTTATTTGAAAGCAAAGTTGTGGGTTCGTCCTATTATCCGCTAGTTGCATACGTGTGTGTGACCAGATAAAAAAAAAAGTTATTGGCACGGGGCACATGTTTGAGGTGGGTCTTAATTTTCGGATCATCTTATAATCGAGGGAGTACGGTAATTGCATCCTTATCAGCGTCACCAGCCTCACTAAGCAGTGCCCTTCGAATAATTTGTCTCAGATTTCCCAAAAATATGCTGATTGCCAACTTGGGAAGTGCTTGTCAAGCTGCTTAGCAGCCCATGGCAATGCACCTGCGGGGCAACATTACCAGTCAGAAACTGGATGCAGGCAGTTTGACAATGGGCTGTTTGGAAGCACGGTAATTTGGAAATTAATTTCGATCATATTTATCCCCAATTATAGAACCCCACTGTAATGCAGAGCTGACAATGCTAAAAGCAAACATATGCCACACAGTGCCATTAAAATTCCCTGTAAATCATACCTTCTTCATTCTTAAAGGGGTAATTCTCCTCTTCATCCTTTTGCGGTGTCATGTTGCGCATTTTCCTAGAACACAGTAATAAGATACTTGCAAATGGCTCAATGCTAAATAATGCTCATGTGTTAAAACGTTCAGGGGCTCACATTCCATAGTGTTGACCTTGGATATCATCGTGGTTTGAAATATTCAGAGATTACTTATTTCCACTGAAGGTTTATTTAGATATCAATTAGGGGGTCTGCGAATTCGCACAATGTGGCCCAAGACTATTGTAAAACCAGAGAAAGAAAAATAACATGCCCTGCCAAGAATACTGTAAATAATGCCGTGTCTGTGTCAACGGAACCGAGTGTCAAGACAATCCTCCTTGCAGAAATATTTATCCAAAGAATTGAAATAGAACTCTAATAACTAAACACGAATTGACCAAATTATGGCCAACGTATGTATTGTTCTATGTTATTGTAATAACCTGGGCATGGTTAATAGTTCATTTTGAGGCTCAAAAATGGAATTAAATAGCAAAATATTATCAAAGGTTCGTTAAATTTATTTTATGAATAACGTGGAGTTTTATTTAAGGAATTTTTTTTCCAGAAAAAACAGTTAATTACTGCCAATGTTAAAGTATAACCAAAACAACTTCATCTCATTCCAGAAATTGAGGGAAGAAAAAAACCAACAACATTATAGAAGCTTCAGACCAAACAACAATATAACATTGGCCCATTGAAGAGAAGACAGATTGAATATTCGACACAGACCTAGCTCAAGCACAGCACATCACTCAGGGACTGCCGCTTGTGCAAGCGCAGAGTGCTCACCTTCGCCGGATGCAGACCACCGTGAAGACGATGAAGGCGAGAAGAATCACGGCACACACGACGATGACGGCCACACGAGTCGTATTGGAGTGTTCTGTCAAGCCACCAGAGCAACCCATTTACATGTGCATCGCCAGCAAGAGCACCACCACAATGTAATGCAACTAATATATCTAGACAAAATTTTTGTTGCATAAATTAAAACTGCGGAGGCAAATACAATTTTAAGCATTGCTTGCCGCTTTCTCTTCACTACAAAGCCAGCGATGTTATCTTGTCGACCACTTAACACGTGGTTACTAGAAGACATCCAATTGCCCATCGTTTAAAACGATCCACCTTGCATCATTGGCTGTACCTTCCGCCAGAAAAACTATAAAGCAGGATGGCATTTAAATAACAAAGGTGGTAATCTTGATTTGAAGCTTTCGTGACTGCAGGAATCCATACTCTTTGGTTCTTTCGGTAAAGTCACGTAGGTAGAGAAATAAAATAAAATAAACAAAAAATATTTTTTTTGTTTCATTAGATTTTTATACCTATGTGATTTTACAGAAACAAAGGTGGTGTTTGGTTTCCATTTGTGATCGCCCAGTATTGGCCTTGTACCCAGTGTCCATCGCGCTGTCCTGGCTGTGGAACTCACGGTACTGGTCGGTGTTGATCTCCACGGGGTCGCTGGGTTTGCCGAAGCCGGCGGCCGTGCGCGCCCGCACCTCAAAGCCGTACACAATTTTGGCCCGGAGACCCTCGATGCTGGCCGACGGCACCTTGGTGTGCAGGATGTTGTAGCTGGTGTCCCGCTGGCCCTGGAAGAGGACGCGCGGCGCACGCGTGAAGTCCACCGCGGCTCAAGCGACCAGGGCATTTGTCGCATGCACAACAACACAAGGAACCCCTCCCCCACCCCAGCCTTCTTCAGCACGTTTGGCTGTTAGGCCAATAACTGTTCGTGAGCATCTATCAGCGCTGACACTGCACACGAGGGAGTACAGTACAAAGTACGCCGATCACCTGTCGCCGCCTTTGCCTCCCCAAGCACTGGTGTCGATGAAAATCACCCCATATTCTGCTCTGATGAGTTTGTCTAAGGTGGGGGTGGGGGGGGTTATACTTGCTGTGTATGGTTATTTCCGACATATGCCAGAACTGACATTGAAATGGAAGGGATTTTAGCACATCGCTTTAATCGGTTCAACTCCAGTTATAAGGAAAGCACTGTTGCACACAAACACAAAATTACAAATATCCCTCTAAAAATGCAGACTGTTAGGCCAAGTGAGCACCTATGCAGGCTTAGCACAGTCAGTGGCATACTGCTGTGGTGTGGCCTTAACCACTCCCAGCCGCATTTGTCTCCCCAGTGCTGATGATTTCATACTGCACACGGCACTCATTTAAGTAATGGAGGCCCCTGGACCAGTTCATATATTCACCACTGAAGTTAGCTGGGGCCTGGAATAAAACTCAGGAGGGGGGGGGGGGGGGTATGCGCTAACTACTGCACCACCGCTCCTCAAAACACAAACGCAGAGCTTGGTGTGTGTGCTAATTTACATACATTTACAGAGTCATGCATACATTTAGACCAGTACTGTTCGACCCTTCACCTGCAATTCCGCAAAAACAAGAATCCCACTTACATGAAATAAAAATTTGAGGTCACCTTAGCGAGGAAGTTTTTCACACAGCAAACAGACTGTGCCAGTATCTCGAAGACTGACCATTAATTATAAACAAATATATACATAAAATAAAGCAGACAAGCTTATATTACGATGAAATATGTTTTAAAAGTGCGGTTATCAAAAGCCATAAAAGTGTGAAAATGGCAACACATTAAAATAATGCATTTAAGACCAATGTGGAAGTTTTGGGCAAATTATGCTCAAGAGAGTCTTTGTAGAGCTTCCTTGAGTGCAAGGCCTTGCCATTGCGCATGGTTTAAAGGGGACAGATATGAAGATATGAAATATTTTCAATAAACCACAGCGTGACCTTTCAAATGAATGTTAATGGGCTTTCCAAATAAATTTTAAACGAAATAAGTTTCTCGAATATAAATGTAAAATATTCCTTCTGGAAAAAAACAATTACTCATGCTCGTTCAGCACAGGCAGACTGATACTACACTGGCTTAGCTTATAATCGCCTGCATGAAAAGTACACTGCGTATAACGCACAGCATATAGAAAGAGCATGATTGTGTTTGAGGGATAGAGTGACAAAGAAAACAATGCCTTGGATACCAATGATGTTAAAAGATAAATGAGCCGAGGGAGGAACTGGGAAGTGGAGAGAGCAGGTGAAGGGGCTAAACATAACCCAGAGTATTAACAGCTGTATTCAAAGGCGGAAATTGAGTAACGTTTATACTGCACAGTGGAGGGACATGGAGAATAAGAGGTTTCATAGGCCGGTCCATATTGCCACTGTGACAGCGTGACCATTTACAGACGCGCCCGTGTTACCGCTGCTGAAAGTGTAACCATTACGTCGAATGACGGGAAGATATATGTCGGGTCAAACACACATATTTGTGTAGGGCTCTGACCCTGGGAGGGGCTCTTTCAGCGGCCGAGAGGAAGCTTAGAGAGGCGGGGCTGGAATTTTTTTGGAACCAAGGCGGTTGAGATTGCAGCATCGTGTGACAAAAATAAATAGATCAAAAAACAAACACATTGTTTCTTAGCAAAGAGGGAACTGCCGAGTTCTCCCCCCCCCCCCCCCCCCCAGGGAAACATTTCGGATAACTTCCTGCACAATTGCAATTGGCTATTTAAAGCCTGCCACAGAGCACTTGTCAATGTATTTCGATATAGGATATAGGATGCTGGACTTTATGTGCAACAATGGCATTCATGTAAAAATATTTATGCCCTCTTCTACGCTTGTATACCAATGTATACGTTTAAAATCGTACAAATGTATTTATTTATTGCATTGCAATCAACGCCATCTGAATATTACTATGACTATGATCACTGTCACTACAAAATCATTAATCATGGGTCGTAAAATTGCGTGACGACTCTGAAAATAAACTGAACAATGTATAATTTCTAAAGTTTCTAACTAACATTGTTTTACTCACATGTATATATTATTCAGCTGTAAAAATTGAGTATGGCAGTTGATGCACAATAATCAGTTGAGGCATCCCTGATCTCCAGTGACTGTCACATACAGTAAAAATAATTTAATATTTTCAAAAATGGCACTTGCCCCACTGCAATATTTTATGTAGAGCATTGTTTGCAAGAGTGACAATTACATTAATGTCAAGCAAAGACCGACAAATCATTTACTTCAAATAAATACATTTTAAAACCTTAAACGCCCTCCATCATTTATTTTGCTCTTACGACTTGCGCCAACCTCTGAGTGCAATTCGCTTTGATGTGCCCCTGTGCAGTGCTCATTCGAAGGTAGTGAATCACATGACTATGCTGCATTCAGTAAAACCTGTCTATTAGGACTCACAGTTGTTATATTATTATCGTCTGCATATCGTTCCCCGCAGCATTGGCACTCGCACAGCCGAACCTTCTTTGATCATTTATTCATCTCTCTGTGTCATGTCTAAACCCAGCGCACCATTGTGTCGCTGGATATGTCTCAATTCCTGCACCACACAACGTTAATGTCGCGTTGGGTGGCCTTTATCGAGCAGTGGAAAAACAGCGCACAGTTAACAAATTATGGCGAATTGCCCGATGATGCTGGATGCAATTACCAGCGAAACGTCGCACTCAAATTGTAAATGTTGTGGTTTCACGCTTCAACACACTGGTGGGCTAAAGCAGTGAACTATTTGTCTTTTGTCAACGTGACACTTTTTTACTGATTGGCCGTGTCGGGTGGTGGAGGGTTACGACACATTTATAAATAACGCGATCTAAACCCAAAAAAAAAAAACGTTGATTATGAAATTATATGAAAGCTACTGTGGTCATTGCACAATGTTAGTGGAGGCAGGTTTGACTTTTCGAATAACTTTGTACACATAAAGCCAGGGAAACAATTGCCACATGTCACGAAGAAAACGCAAAGGCCTGTGGGGGCTTGTGGTGCAGCGCGACCTGTGCCATTACGTGCCTGGCAGTGGAATAAGTACACAGTGCAGGCACTATCCTTGACACTTATTTAGGCCTCTCAATGCGAGGCCCCTTTTATCATGACTTCGGTTCCCAGATGAATGGCCGAACAGAATGCAGGCGTGCAATGCTAGCTTGCCAGTCTGATTGACATCTGAGTGTTATAACCGCCGAGTAAGAATCACCCTTCCCGTATGCTTTGTGAGAAGTGCAAATACACATTGTGGGCAAGGCCAAGGTACATTTCTGGCAAGCACATCGCCGCTGAGGGAAGCATGCCTCTCGCTTTGGCTATTGCAACAGTTTGAAGTCAAACATTAGACATGTTTGTCAGCTGATTGCCATGATTATCTGCTGCACTGAAATAAAAGCTATAGACTAGTGGTGGCCAAACTGTGGCCTGCAAAGCTGCATGCTCCTCCCAAGCAGTTTCCAAGCAGCTAATGTTTTACATTTCAACTTTACTTAAAATAATGAAAATCTACACATTGGGGGAGTGGGCCGGAGCATTCAAATGCTGCCAGTGGAGCCAGACATGAGTACTCCCAAGGCACTCCCACAGATTTCGAAATTCACCACTCCACAGCCAACCAGCACCACGAGAAAAAACGGCCGGTTGACTACCCCATGTGACCTGTTCAGCGTCTAGTGATTCTCGGCCATAAGAAGATTTAGTTATGGGGACTCGTAGGGTCAGAAAGTTTGACCACCTCTGCTAACCGCTTGTTTCACCCTCGAAAGTCTTAATGAATGAACAATACCTTTTCGTAGTACTTGATTTCGTAGTCCAGGATTATTCCATTTGGGTGATCTGGTTGGAACCATGACAGCTTCACGTGGTCCTTGGTTTGCATCTCGTACCACAGTGACCTGATTTTAGATGGAGCTGGAACATAGGGACAACAAAAAGCAACAGAAATATGTATTATACAGTGTGTTTATGTTAATGAGTCAGTTGTTAAAAGTATTGCACTTTTTTTTTACTCTCTCTCTCTCTTTAAAACTGGCAAAACAGCGGAATGTATTCAACATTGTTTTAAATCTATCATCACCTTTGTGGTGATAGACTGTTTCAGCAAAGCACTCCCACACCTCCATTTCCCACGTCACAAAAAAACATTTTAAGAACAGAAATATGAGAAATGCTTTTGGAAAATGGCTCAACAAACTGACAGTTTTACATCCACCCCCGTAATACCTGATCACTGCGATCACTAGCACATTCACCCATTTGTTATGACTCACACTATACACATACCAAACCAGTGGCCGCATAATAAATGGCGTTTTTGGGGAGTTGTAAGATTCCAAAAAAAATTCTCCAACTTTCATAAATGTGGATGCAACCTCAAAGCAAACTATCGGCGAGATTTGGCGTGATTTCGTTTGCTGTTTTAAGTAAGGCAAAGCAGATTTAGAAGCCATATCTCTGTGTGCCTATCACATTTTTCATGCATATCAGATTTACATGACTTCAATTATCATGAATTCTCTTTTCAGGTGTTTTTATCATTAGTGTGTCGTTTGACACGCCCAGGTTGCCATGGCAGTTAATATTGCATGCCACTCTCCCCCGTTGTCACAGGCCAACATTTATGGCCATCAAAATCAACATCATTTCCGTCAAACCAAGCTCCTTATCAACAACGAATTTCCCGTTCTCGAAAAGCTATTTGATTCGAACAATCTGTCCATGCACAACGTGTAATTACACAAGAAGAAGACGATAAACTTAATAAGAAAAATCACACTGAATATAGAGATAGCTTTGTATTGCAACACTAAAGCTAACATTTACAGCATCTCAAACACATTGCTTGTTTAACATTTCTTTCACATCCACTTAATATACTGCATGTGTCCGTGCATTCTCTTTGTTAAAATCGCAGCAACCTAGATTTCATTCCCAGCCAGACGACTCATCGTGGGTCTCCCGTCTAGGTCAAATCAGCCTTTTACTAGCACCTGGTCCTATACAAATGTTTGTAAATAGGAGCACTTGGGAGACAAAGGTGGACAGGCATGGTGCCACCCCCTCTTGGGTCACACTGACCTTAATAGGTGCTCACTAACAGTATTTTCTCTTACAGTCTGCAGTTTGAGTCTATACAGGGGTATATTTGCCTTTTGTACGCATGCAGAGTGCTTTGTTACCACAATTCTATTGACCTAGGTTACAAGTGGAAATTGGAATTTGCACCTAGCCTGGGCCTCCCTTGGGTTGGCTCAGCCTAAATTAAGTAATTTCTGACGGCGTATTCTCACCTGGTACAATGCCAATCTTACCAATAAAAACCACTCGCAAATAGCATACGCACAGAATATGAATTTGAATAGAGTGGTGATTGTTATCTTCATTTGTATTTGTGGACAAAAAAAATCAAAATCCCACCTTAACCCAGTAGTGCTGCAGTATAATTACACTCACGTGTTACAAGTATTCAAGGTGACGAACAAAACCCCATGATGAGCTTTTCTAAGGTTGGATATGTTAAATCCCTATGCAATGGTGCCAAATAAAACACATTATTCACTACAATTATTAAGTAAATGGAAAATCCATATATAGTAGTAGCAATAACAATATTTTTGTATTGTACACCTGCTAAGTTAAGATGCTCCCATACGGAAGAACAATGACTGGCACATATACAAGACGACAGAGTATATATATGCAGTACGGCATATAAAGGATTTGCACCTTCAAACAATCAAGCCGCTGACAGGGGCCGTCTCGCGAAATATAGGAAGTGCGGATCTGCGCGGGATCTGCTTTGGCTGTATGTATGTTGCACTTCTTCTTGGTTCTTACGGTAAAGTCACATAGAAGGCCCAAATTCCTTTAAATCCCTTCTACGTGACTTTACCGAAAGAACCAAGAAGATGAATCCCTGCAGTCACGAAAGCTTTAAATCGAAATTTATGTTGAACTTCTTTCACACCTTACATAACCAACTGCACTGAGGCTGTCATCTCAGTTGGGGGGGGGGGGAAGGGTGGCTCTTTTGAGTGATGACACCTCGAATCTCCACAAGCTATGACAGGCCGGCCGTGAGTGGGGGACAGCTGCAGGCTCAGGACCGCACAGACAACAGGCCCCGACAAGACACATCTCTTTCGCGACGCCCCACCAGTGTACCGCACCAAAACCACGGCCTCGCCCAGTGAATGAACACCCGACTCTGCCCTCCCGCAACCTGTCTTGCATTCCCCCTCGAGCCAAGTTGGTGGTGATAAGTCACGGGTGGGTGAACGTCTATAAACGAAGCAGGTTTGGGCTTATCTGCTTCGAAGCGTAGTATATGTGTTTTAGATACACCTAAAATAAAATAAAAAATCTTATTTTTTTAGAGACAATCTTTTACGGTGAAATGTGGGATCACTTTTTACATTATATAATAATGTGACGTGTCCTCATGCGAACACAAGTGACGGTCGCCCGATGTCACGTGGCGCCACTTTCTTTTTGGTGGAAAAGCGTGAAACGCGATGGAACGGAAGGCGACGTCCCCTCTGGTGATGTCGTACTTTCAGATCAATCCGCAACAAAGCCAAGGAGATTCGGCTCATCAGAAATGTTACATCCAAGGCCCGATGTTTCAATAAATAGGCCAAAAATATGAAACACATCCCTAAACCATAGCGAGCAGTCGCGGGCTGACCTGTATGAGGAGAGGCGAATATACGCCGAGAGGAAATGGAAGTTTACGACAAAAGGAGTTTGCTCTTGCCCGTAGTCACTTTGTTCTCGTGGCTTTTTCAACAGGTTTTACATTTACAATGCACGCGCCGCGTTAACGCGACATTTCATGCCGCTGAATAAAACCACGCGCAGCAACTACCTTGCGTTTCGCTCTCGGCACACCCTAAAACCCTTAGCTAACATTGCATTTCCCGCATTCATGGCGATTAAATGCCACGCCCCTTGCAGGCAGCAAGATTACAGGGACCCACGACTAGTCACAGAGCGTTTTTCGACAACTTATTTTAACGCGTAAAAAAAAAAAACTCATTGCAGATATGCTTTTGCACAAGAACTATGACTGCCCCCAAGAAGCGCTGACGCCGCTGAACTAAGATTCCATCATTCTTCCCCAATTTTGAATTAATAGAGGGCGTCAAGCACACGTTTAGTCGTGCATGATGGGGAAACGTTCAAGCTGGCATCAGGTAGGTGTGGAGCTGTGGAGGATGGGGGGGTGGACGTGGTGTCACGTTTCCTGTTCGCCAGCTCTTTAATCATTTCTTCAGACGCCCGGCTGCCAAGGATGGATAAAAAAACCCAGGCCATTCTCCATAACTCCTTTCAAGCATAAAATAGAATGTGAGATGATTATTTATATGCGAGCATTTGTAAACGAACTGCCACATGTCTGAAACTGGTATCGGGTTTTCTGGATATTTACAATTGTATTGTAGTCATCTGGTTTTTTTGTACGTTCCAACATGGTCTAATGCCTGTTAAGTGAAGCTGCAGATGACATTTATTACGTGCAATGAAACACGAACCAGAATACACCCTGGGCACGGAGATTATATTAAGCAGCATCTTGACAAGGAAGTTTACATTGGGAAACAAAAACTATACTCTGTTGTATACGACGTCTTTATATTGTATACAGTACGTATACAGCTTTGTTGTAAATCCACTGTTGGATGAGGGCCTGCCCAAGCCATGTGGGTGGTGGGAGTTATTTGACCATACTTCACCACGCTGGTCAGTGCGAGTTGGTGAAGGCAGGAAGCATAGACTTGTGAGCGTAATGGAGCGCATCATGGGCTCGCGCTGCACTCTCCGCTGCTGTCCACAGCGTATTCATAGGTATGGTACATGTTTGTGTAATATGTACACACAATGCACTACACATCTTTAAACAAAAACAAAACTTCGCTGTATACTTCTACGTTTTCTAAACACAATATATTCCACAAACAGAGGCTCATTCACAGGGATGTAAATTTTAGACACGACCTGGAACTCGGCCTAATAAAATAATAATTGTCCTCACGGAGTTATCACAGCTTAATTATCAAACCCTTATGCTGGGGGGGGGGGGGGCTCCTACGATCCACATTTCACCACACACTTCACTACGCCAACATAAACACGCTCTGTCGCATTTTCAGAAGCAGATGAAGCAATTCACAAGCGCTGCTTAATCAGGCGCCTAAGTAAAATGCACACCTTGTGTTGGTCAATGAAGAGCTGTCCACGACTTTCATCAAATTCGACGTGAAATAATATTCTTTAATTACTTCAACCCAATCCAAGCCATACTATCTTGATCGACCTATACCTTATCCCTTTTTTTAGCTTCATCCAGGAAAAATAATTTTTCAGGAGGATTTTTAATTGGTAAGTTTGGCAAATTCCATTTGTTTTGCACATGGGACGGAAAGCATGCAGATGAGTGGATAAGACCCAAAGCCTACCCAGATGGATTCAGAACCCACTTGCCAAAATACCATCTCCTGGCGACCTCACAGTTTGGGAGTTTGAAAACTCTGTCATCAACTGACCCTTGCCTCCAGAGTTCTGGATTACACACATATCAGCCTCTTAAGTCCAGGCATCTAAGCTGCTCTATCAACAACGTTGCCTCTCCATCAGAGGTCGCACCCGAGTTTTGATTCCTTACCCGTACCCGTACCCGGCCGCACCAGGGTCGTAAACGGGTACCCGTACCCGTACCCTACCCGATACCCAGTTACCCGTACCCGGCCGGGTACATGTAGGGTACGGGTATCGAGTACCCCATTTGCGATCTCAGGGATGAAGCCATGTTGCAGGCACAGGTGGGTTGATTCTAGGAACTTGAATTGTGAAAAGAGACAAGACGTTGGGGAATGAGTGACAAACGGTGACTCACCAGTGACTCACGGCCTACCCGTACCTGTACCCGGCCGCACCAGGGTCGCAAACGGCTACCCGTACCCGTACCCGGTCGGGTTCCCGGCCGGGTACGGGTAGTCGGGTATCGGGTAGAGTACGGGTATCGGGTACCCGGTTGCGACCTCTGCTCTCCATTAAAAGAGGGGAATAAGTTTGAGACTGTCAAATAACAAAAAGAGCAAGGCAACAGGGCTTTTGGCAATGAATCTCGCATTGCGAAATTCAGCCATAACCCCGGGGGGGGCAAGAGTGAGGAGGACTTTAATTCCTTTCACAAATATTAAAAAGGACAACCACACCCTTCAGAGAGTATGCCGACACATGCCTGGAGAGTGTGTCAAATAGGAAATGGTTCGCAAACTTGCCAGAGATTGAAAGCAAGGTTCACGCATGTATTTGTAGCTGTTTGCCATGCACCAAAGTGAAATCTTACAACCTGGAAATCCACCTATGCTGATATAGCAAATCCAGTTCAACTCCGAAAACAGTTGTGGGCTACACATATGGGAGAGTGAACAGTTGTCTGCAAACGTGCAGAGTGCACACGGGTCCAGGTAGCATCTAAAATACACACGTGTTCATCATTATCAGCGCTGACACACAAGTGAATTGCGATGATTTGGGGTAAGTGAGGGGGTAGTGTCCGTACACAGAATTGTCATCACTATGTGAGCATTAGTGGTAAGAGAGCTGGCCACCACCAAAGGCTGATAAAAAATCAAGTCTGTGACCTATAAGCAATCGAATCCTATCATTGTCACCAGCAGCAGACTGAGTTGCTCAAATTGGACACCAAGGACACGCAAGAATGATGATGGAAGGGCAACTGAGCTGTCACTATCGTGCACACACATGGCACACTTTTGCCGCGTTTCTTACAGGGCTTTGGCTAGACATGCCGCATGAAGATCTGATAAAATCCCAGGTGTTTGCCAGCATCTCATGTGTTACTGTTTCAAATGATTTTGCTGTGAGCTGTTGAAGGAAATGCACGCTGTTAGGTGTTTTGGCATTTACTTTGTCCTTCACATACTCACAACATCACAATCACGCAAATCAAGCTGCTGTCGAATTATAATGATGTTTTAACGGTTGATTGCTCCATGGACGCACTGTTTACTGCAAGGTGGCCACACTTGCGTTTCTGAAGCCCACCGGGCAGGTGCTTGTAAATGCTAAAAGTAGGGCATGGGAAGGATGTTTACATGTTTACACCGTCACAAAGGTTGAGGTTCCTGTTGTTAGACGTGCCAATCATTGGGAGGATTTTGTAAACACTCCTGTGAATGAGGCTTCTCACCAAAACGTGATGGATGTGTGTGTAAACAGTGTGCAACACAATGCCAAAATGGTTTCCATGTGTGTGCTCTCACTTCTTACAAGAGCACTCTTGTTTTCTGTACCCAACACGAATGTTTATAAATTCATCCCGGCATTTGCATTAGCTCTTAAAGTCAGGTCTTACGGTACCGCTCATGTATCCACAACCTCCCGCGCCTTCCATAAGTCTGCTTTGCCTAAACATTTCAAAGATATTTTCCAGAAATGCATTTATTTATTTAACTATCGCAGTGTTTGCCCATGCAACGGGAAAACGCTGTACGGTACACGCTCGACATCCTGGATACAACAAAAAAAAACCCTACGTATTTTCGTCACAACATATGCGTGGAGCAAATTATGCTCAAATAAAACCGATTTAACTTTCTACAAGGGCAGGCAACGCAGGATCTTGCACATTACTCGTGTTAGCTTCACACCTCGACCAGCTGCTCACCCATCACCCACACCCCATGAGCAGACTAAGGCACACCATGAAACCTTAATGCCCATTAACCCTCCGTTAAACCGTAGCCAATGTGTCCCATTATTAATTAATTTGCAGCAATAACTAAAAATGCCCCGCGTCTACAACAAGTTCCGTAATTTATTCCAGCATTAAAGTCGGCTACCCGTCGTCGTGACGACCACATTATCAACTCGCGCCGCTCTGCTCAAGAGTTTAAAAGCGTTTCCATACTCCGCAAAAAGGCCCATGCTCAGTGTGACATCCATATTTAATTTCCAGATATGGTATAGATCCAGAAAAAACATCGTTAATGAAATACAGGCTCATGGGAAGGTACTAAAAAAAATGAGATAATTATGGACCATACAAGCCAAATGGACATATTTGAAATATGTATTTGACAGCATGGCAATTTCATTTTACAACACTCGCTTGAATAAACATTTCCCCCCTCCACCCCCACTTAATTGATACCTGCAGTGAGGTAGCCGACACGAAGGTGGTTTGTGTGTGGGTATGAGATATGGCCAGGCTGAAATAGAATGCATATTTACAGCCTTAGGCGCACACTAACAAAGTCTCCAGTCATCGCACGAGTCCAACAAGGCACGGTCATGGCGAGCTACTCGTTGGGAAAGGCGAAACAGAAAAGTCTAGCCATCCTACTCAACATTCTACACTTTGTATCTACACAACGCTCGCACGGCGCACTCAGATCCAGAAAGACACGCACAAGTGCATTCATAAAGGGCCCCGCTTCCTTTTTCAATGCAAGCATCATTTCAATGGTTAGAGCAATGCCGTGCACATACCAAGTACGCACGTAGCCACTTTCTCACGGCGTGTGACTCCATCTACGGAAGATTATCACCTTCGAACAGCTAATGCTGCAAACAAGACCCAGAGAGCTCACTGGATGGTCCGAACATTTCTTTACTTTTCAGCTTAGCAAGCGAGAAGAAAAATCTAATTTTCACATTGTAAAGCCTGGGCGATGGATCACGGTGCAATTACGTGTTTTGAGCGAGTAGTTCATCACGATTAAATTGCCCCTCAAACAGCCCCACCTTCAACACATTTGCTGAAAAAAAGAAACCCAGAATGCATTTAATTGCTAGCAGCCACTCAGTGTGGTTGGCCAGAACTGGGAAATACTGCGGTTACAACACTGAAAAGTGCAATTTGAGATTGCCAAAAGATGGTATTTTTATAATTGAGACATTTGTGACGCAAATACGAATAGTATCTTCTCAACTCATATACACGTGTAACATAAATGCATGTCCGATTATTACTTTTGGCTACTTACAGTGTGAAAGAAGTTCAACATACATACAAATAAACGTAAATGCACTGCACTTGCTTATTGAATATTTGTGAAGAAAAATTTAGCAACGAGGCTATTGCCATCAGAAATACTCGATGCATGATCTTAAAAAAGCATAAGAGCAAAATAAATAATTGGTCCAAGTTTTGTTTTCCACATACAACATGATACAAGAAGTCAAACCTGCCATATTATATAGCGTCTGCATATACTTCCATATATGGCTTGTAGGCATATAACAGAAGCATCTATTGGTCAACTAAAATAGATACCTATGTTCCCGATACATGAACAGAATCTTGCTAGCAAAAGTAAAGTATTTTCAATTTGTGCAAATTGTACGTAAAACTATACGGTAATAGAGTGATGAAAACAATGCAAACGGTACAGTTAAGTGGAGCCTAAGTGTAATCGATTCCTGACCCTGAATCAAGATAATTCACCCCAACTGCAGTGGGGGTGCATCGTTACATTCATAAAGTCCTGAATATACGACTACAATACGACTTCGTTTTACAGCGTGTCTAAATACGTCACGGGAAACATACGTATAAACCTTGTGACACTGAGCAAAGAATACCAGTGGCATATGCACGGCGTCGTACACCTATCACGGCACGGACGCGGTGATCCTCACCGGCCTGGTTGGTGGTGAGCGACACGGACACGGCCTTGGGCGGTGCGGGGCTGAGCCGCGAGACCCCGTTGAGCGCCTCGATGCGGAAGGTGTAGTTGGTGTGCGCCAGCAGGTGCGCGATGGTGACGCCGGGCACCGCGAGGCCCTCGCGCCGCGGCAGGAAGCGCACGCTGTCCCCGCACGGAGCGCACGGCGGCAACGCAGCCGTCCCTGTCGTCGCCGCTGTCGTTGACGCCGTCGCGGCGGCGGCGTCCCTGCCCCCGCCGCACGTCTGGCACACGAGGCGGTAGCTCACGTCGCCACGGCCCCCGCTGTCCTGGGGAGGGCTCCACTCCAGGATCACCGACGTCTCGTTCACGCTCGAGATCACGTTGCGCACCGCCGACGGGGGGCCTTGTGTCAAGAGCAAATCGTTACACTCACGTTAATAATATAAAATAACAACAACAACGGGCAGCGCTGAATCAAGAAATTGTCGGACGAAGGCGTTCGCATGCTGCTTTGTTTTTGGGGATTGTTTGACCATACTTCACTACGTATGTATGTATGTTGAAGTTCTTTCACACTGTATGTAGCCAACCGCGCTAATCGTAGGTGTGGGATGAGTGACTCTATGGGAACGCTGGGGTCTATTGAGGTTGCACAGTGGCCAGGAGATAGCATCGAAGTATTGGGTCCTTGAATCTATCCATGCAGAGCTTTGAACTGTTATTAGCACGGTTGGCTTCGTACGATCCGAAAGAAGTTCAACATACATGCATACGTACACACACTATGCCCTTGGTATGTGTAAGATTTCTCCATTTACTCTGCCAAAACACTTTTTTATGGAATTTGCCAAAAGGAGTCTCATGCAAAAAGAGTCTTAAAACACACTGATGCTTTTATGGATAAATAAAGGATATTATTACGTGTATTATCTTGTACTTGTGTACATAGGGACATTTACATTCCCCTACTTGTGTACCTAGAAAGGCCTCAATGGACACGTCGTTGTATCGCCATGTCACAATCAACCCAAACGAGAACACAGCTATTTTTTGACTTTAATAAAAGTTTAGAGTCCTTCTCAATGAGGATGTGTGCCAACAGCCACTCTCAGCAGTGCCCTGTGTCTCTTTGCACTGGTTTACACGTCCCTTTAAACGCATCAGTATCAGCTGTTCCCATCGTCTTCTTTTATGTTTTTACGGTATTGTGAACCTCAGAGCAAAGTCGACACAGTCGCCTTTCATTGAGCATTGTGCAACTACCACGACTCCCTTAGCAATGGGACTTCAACATTCAAACTTGCGTAACGCATTCACAGTTATGCGTGTTCACTTTGTGTGTCTGTTGCTTTTTTTTACCATCCGTATACATTGGGTTCTTTTCACAAAGGCGTTATCAAATATTTGTTTAACATTTAAACACGAAATAATGCCAAAGCACTGCATATTAGGGGGTTGGGCAGTTGAGGTGGCATTTGTTGAGCCAGTTACATAGAATGTGGATGGGGTCGATTCATACAGCCGCTTGGCACATTCTGTTGGGGGAACTTCCATAGTGTGCCATCAGACTTATACAGGTTGATACTAAAGACCCCCTGACATCACTCCCGACATTATCCCACTGCATGCTAGTGCCGCAGTAAAACTGTGAAAAATGTCGAACTGCCGTGATGCAAGCACATCTCCCATGAGACTCAATTCATCTCATCAGGGTCTCACTCATATAAAAAATACTTTTCACACGCATTTCCAATAGTATAGATATTTTTTAAAGTCTATGTCTTGACACAGCTGGGCAAACGTAAGTCACCACATTCACCATTGACGCTGCTTTATACCGGTAAAAAAAAGTGAGTGGGCTTGGGCAGTCACGTGGTTAAATGGGACAATGATGGGCGGCGAAGAATAATGATGGAGAGTGGCAGCTGCTCGTGGGAAAGTGGACATGGAGCGGTGAAATCAGCTGACGTGCGAGCGTAACAACCCACTAGTTCATGCTGTTGGATTGTTACAACGCAGAACCACGAGCGATGACGTATGGAGACCTTCATCCAGCAGTGGATCCATCATCGTTGATGAAATTACCGTAAGAGTACTTAGTAGGCGGAAGTTATGGACAACGGCGCTTCTTCACGACAGATAGAGAGGGCAGAGAGATTGGCTGGACAGTGTAGTTGGGCCGGCGGTGTCACTTACGTGTACACGGAGAGCTGACAGGGTCAGCTTCTGCCCTGTAGTATCCCGCTTTGCATCCGCAGTGCGTGGACGCGAGTCGAGTGGTGAAGCTCTCCGGAGGACACAGGTCGCACGGCTGCCCTCCCGTCGTGTTCTTGTAGTAGCCGAGTCCGCAGGCTGCAGGCACACGGCACACCACACAACGCTAATACATGAGCCACTCGCAACACAACGCTAATACGCTCGCCACTCGAACGCAACACTAATGCGCTAGCCACTCGCAATGCTCCAAGCGAGGCACTTCTGTGCTCCTTTAATTAAAGGACGGAAAAATATTCGAGAATATAATTAAGAAAGAAAAAAAACACATTAACTTCACACTAAATAATGAAACATACAGCAGCATAGATTTCCACAGCTGCGCTCTATGGCTCTGCGGTGTGCCTTTGGGTCGGACTGTTGCATTGCTTGAAGCTCAAGGAGCTGTGCGAAATGTCGGGCATCGTGCCGACCGATACGTGGGCCACAACCCGAAAGCACTCTGGAGAGGAGTTAAGCAACAGCGTATGAGATTAAAATATCAGTTTGGCATGGACTCGTAGCAGAGTATGCCCACGGTTAAAATACGATGACAGTCATTTTACTGCGGTAATTGCATCTCAGCATGTAGGGCTGCTCTAACGACCCTGACGCACGGGACCACGGTGAGACGCAGACCGAGGGGAACCTCTTAATCCGTCAGCTCCTCAAGCAGCCGTGCATCGTGGATGACCTCACCAGGGCTACACATCATCATCGTCGTAACCATCGTCGTCATCATCATCATCATGCGCCCGGTACTGGATAGACATGCGTGTGCGGTGGCAGCAACGCGCGGAGAGGAGAATCTCAGCATGTCTAGTGGGACTTACTAAGTTATATGTTGTAATTACCACATGTGTATGATGCACTCAACATTCCACCAATTGTAAATATGTGATTTAAAAGCTTCAAAAAATCACGAGCACACATTTCTGTTTTGCTGCCTGTCATGTGGAAACATAGATTTTCCACTCCAGGGTAGGAGCCGGAAAAAGAATGAGCACCACTGGTCATTGGGCAGGAAGACACCTTGATTTGTTTCCATTTTAACGTGCAGTTCACGGACTAGGTAAAGGTGCAGCCCTGCAATTACTTGCTGATGGGACTACTAACGGAAGGGCCTCCACTAGAGGGAGTCACAGAGAGAACTTGGTCTACTCTTCCACGCTGACCAGACGTCTTGAAATTGGTGGAAGTAGCCACACGTTACCCACCGCACATGACCTGCAGATTGATTGAATGTGGTGTTAACCAAGAAATCTTGCCTGGAGGATTTAATAAATCTGACCATTGTTTCTACTACTGTACCACGGGATCTATGTCCATTGTGCTAACCATCACACCAAGGCAGCATCCACGCGTAGAGTAAAATTTAGTTCCATTCATGACAGTGATTCATTGCAACCAACACGCATGCAATGAGCATTGACTAAATGCTGTAAACACATTTTTTCAGTCTACCCAATATAACAGAACTTGCACACTTCAATATATTAACTTCACCAAGAAGGCATTAATAACTTAGAATGCAATAACAACACGTAGTTTTGCCAATTGATTTTTAAAAAAATATATATATTACTTGTTGGCAAAATCTTGTTCGGGAAAAAATAAAAAAGACTGAAGAACACATTAAATGTGCCGTCCTGGTAGAATACAAACCATAACCTGCACGCTGATCCCTCTTTTTCATTGGGAAAACCCCATAGTTGGTAAATCAGGTTCGGTGGAAACACTGGGGGGGGGGGGGGGGGATTTATGTAGCATAGCAGGAAAATGTGACCGGGATCCGGAAAGGTTTTGTAATCGCTGGCACATTTCAAGTCCCTGCAGCCCCAGACGAGACAGCTCCGTGATCACTGTAGCAGGAACTCTAGCGGGGCGCACTGGCGCGGCGCTGTGGAATGTCCTGCGTTATAGACATTCAACAAACGCAGCTCGGCAAGTGCACTCGAGGTATACGACGAAGGAGAACGAAGACAAAAAAAGGATTTCGCTCAAAAAACCACGACATCTGCTAATTCCCGGAGCTTTAGTGCACGGCGATTAACTTTGGGAGAGGGTGGAGACATTCTTAGTTTTGTTTTCTCAAGCGCCGAGGGTGCGTTACTAACCACCTTGACACATAATGAGCTTTTCTCGACTCGAAGTCTTTCTTTTGATGCCCCATTCTTTCAAGGATGCTCGGAGATGCCAAGTCATTCTGAAAAGCCGAGTGCACAGGGCTGTTCCGTGACCACTTGTTTCATTATACTGCTTTGCTACGGCACGTGAACCTTGAACACACCTGTAGGCGTGCTTGCATTTCAAACCTTTAACCGGTCTCATTGAACAGCTCTCACGATCACTGGTACCCTACACTGGTTCTGTAAATATTAAACACGAGTTTATAGCCACGTGTCAATCCAATGCTCTGGAGGGTGAAGGCTTTGCCATGCCACCATCAGTCAATGAGGACTGTACGACTAAAATTCACCACAACTTGAGCAGGACTGGTTGGTGACTTAGGGTGCCCAGGACGAGATCAGATATCACTCGACAATGATGTTAGCCATGGCAGGGAACTGAAATCCGATTGCCAGGTTCACATCATTGAGCATTATTTAATGATGTATGTATTACAGTAATCAAGACTATTTAGTCATACGAACAACACGTTGACGTGTCAAGGCATTTGTATGCCACTAGATTAAATTTAAGATAGTCTTTTACTATGATTGGAACACCTATATTTTTGGTATAAAATGAAACAGGTTGTACGAGAACCAATTAATGTTATTCTTACCCAAGCAATCAGTGCCCACCCAAACCAACTGAGGAAGGGGATCTCATGTAAAATTTGTGGGTTTCAGTGCCCCCCCCCCAAAACCTCCAAGTGTTCCCACTGCCTAAAGGGCACAGTGACTCTACCAAAGCCTTCGTTGGGATGTTTTAAAGGGGAGCAGCTCAGGGATCCGTTTGGCCTCAGATATTGTGTGAACACAGAAATCTTCTGGGGCATCGCATGGAGTCGCATTGAGAACAACATTGCCCGGAGCCAATGTTGTATTCACAATGGAGTGCGCTCTCATTGTCCACGAGACATTACTACTGCCCTTTTGACATCTCTGAATAAGAATTGTCATCCGCAATCTCAACATCTTGCTCTTGATCGAAAAGTACAGTGCACGGTAAAACTACGCTGGTAAACCTCACATTTAGTGAGGCTCTGCTGTGAAAATAATAGCAGATTGAATACTGGTTAATTGTCTTGCACGTGATTTTGGTACGTACAATGTATGCCTCCTTATGGCTTAAAATTCACTACACTGGATAACACATACCCACCTTAGAGGAATTATTTGAGCGCATCAAGTACAATACAGTACTCTCAAAGCCACAGATTACAGTAGAGAAAGGGCCTATATTAAACACTGGACCAGAATAAATGTTGTGCACATTCGTATAAGAAAGATAAACTTAGGTTACATCTTCAAAGTGAAGGTGTTAGTTTAGCTACACAGTATTTATAGCGTTGCAGTAGTATAGCATTTTCCACCATTTATGATTGCAACAAAGTATTCCCAAATCAATTCAGATGCAGCAGTGGATTTTTTTAAATATTATTTTTGGAATCTTACATGCAGACGCTACACCTGCGGAAGCCAGGTCCATACATCCCGGGACAAATTGTATTTTTCCTCCAAGGAAAGGCGCAAGATGAAGGAGTGTATGCTTAGTTGCTCTAACCTACCCGTCTTAGGTCTCATACCGAGGTCATCAAGACAGCTAAGATACTGGCTGACGGATGCGTTCATTTTCAGGGCCTTATTTGTTAATGTGTGGACATTTGATACGTTTGTCTGTGAACTTGATTGGAAAATGCACGCCGTCTGCCCAAGGTTGAGAAAACAAGGTGGGGAAAGGAAGTCACCGAAACTATTTCCTTGGTTTGTATGTGAGCTTTGCTCGGCTTGAGTACACGATTTTCACACCCACTCTTTTCGTTCTTGAGGCGAGGCATGTTTGCTCAGGCCAATGTTTGCTCAGGACCACCAGAGGTTATGTCATGTTGAAAGGATGGCCGCTCCTGAAAACCTCAACCGTCTGTAATGAATGTGACGTGCTTTGAACATTATACTGAAAGGGCCACATATTTTTTCTTAGTTTGCAATTGCGAAATAATCCCTATAATTTGAATACATATTCTCTTTTCATAAATATATGGCAAAGGCTGTTGATTTCCATTTTTCTAACAAATAAATCAATAGTTTTCATTATCGGGCCAGCAAAGATATAGAGCTTACAAAGACAAGTGATGCCTTGGCTTGCAAAACATGAAGCATGTCCGTTGCATTTCCTGATAATACATACCAACAATAAACTTTAGTGGTTTAAGTCCTAAAACTCTATGAATACAGATTGTGACCTTCAGGACAATCATCTCAACACAGCACTGTAAGTTGAAATTGGTAAATATTTCTTACTGACGATAACACAAAACTGTAAACATATTTTTTGAAAGGGAACACTATGACCTTGAAAAAAAATTCCCATTCCCATTCTTTTTTTTATCAAAGGGCTCCATTGAATCTCACAAATTCAAATAAAATAACTATCAAAGGTCACTTCTATGCTACACAATGCCAGATTACATTACTACTTTATTCTCATAGATATGATTCATAGGATTTTTTAAACTACACTTTTTTACAAACATGTTTCTTTTCAATGGAGGAAAAACTGCAGTACCGTACAGGCTAACAATGTGTTATCCAGAAAGGCCTTAGATATGTCACGTCTTGATTTGCCATCTGCACAATGTCTTATTGCACTTTACCAGCGTCCAACGTCAGCAATGAGTGCTGCGTATATCGTGTGCGCAGAGTACGTGTTAACTTTGGCAGATTTTGTATGTCACAGAAGTTCATATACTCAAATTCGTTATGCAAAGAAAAGTGGAAGTTAATTAAAAAAAATTAAACCGTTTTAAGCTGCCCCTTAGGAAATACTACATTCCAAGAGAAAGTATGTGTTTTGCCATTTTACAAGTGACTGTCCCCTATCATTGAGTGTCCAACCACATTCTGTCAAAGCTGGCTTGTGTGAGGTTAACCAATCTAGTAACTCCTCCCAGCGGCACGCTGCCCCGAGCAAAGGTAATTCTTAAAATTAATAATCCCACGACCGTCATTCCTGAGGTTTTCTTGACTCATGTAATATATCAGCTCAGAGTCAAGTCTTTGACTCCCAACTGTCACTCACCTTAAGCATTTTTAACTTCATCGTGGGGAATTTCAATGCATGCATGAATCATGCTTACTGTAACACTATCATTACAGGTTACACATGCAGCATCGCAGGACTAAAACACGCCACCACATGGAAAGAATCTCACTTACATTGAACACTCAATGTTTCTCTGGCACACAGCGATTCCACCCATCAAAATTGGTTTACGCCCTGTGGACACTCGAGAAAACACACCCAGTTCACGGAAGCACAAAGCCATCAAAGGGGTTTGCACCGACACGATTGGAATTTCAAAATTGCTTTTTCTCCTCCAAAGCAGCTCACCTCGGCACTGGCTGCCCGCAGCCTCGTAGCCGGCGTGGCACACGCACAGCCCGATGGGCACGAGCCACTCGCCGTCCGTGCTGCAGTGCATCCTGGGGTCGGCCGCGGCCACGGCGTTGGGCACGCACGAGCCGCGCACCTCGACAAGCGGCGACGACAGCGCGTTCGCCACCGTGTCGGGGAAGCGGGCGAGGTCGCGCACCACCGCCGGGCACTTCTTGTAGTAGACGCGCGCCGACACGAGCGCCACGCACGCGCCCACGTCCTGGAAGGCCAGGTAGAAGCCGGGCCAGGAGAGGGGCGGCAGCTCCCGCACCTCCGTGTTGAGCTTGAGCACGCGGTCCTTGACGTCCACGTTGTCGAAGTTGCTGTCGGCCGCGATGGTGCCCACCTTGGCGAAGAGGCTCTCGTCCAGGTTGGCGCTCGAGCCGGAGTCGGCCTCGTAGTAGAAGAGGTTGAAGGTCTCCTTGCAGGTGGAGGCGACGCCGGCCATGCTGCCGCAGTCGCGCAGCGTGAACTTGATCTCCACGTAGACGCGCTGGGCCCGTTCGCGAGCGATCCAGCGCGTCCGCAGCCAGTTGTTCTGGTTGGGCTTCACCACGTTGCACACCTGGTAGGCTTGAATCAGCGCCGTTTGGTTGATCTGGATGGCCATCTCTTCCCACTGTTGAATAAAATACATTTAAACAAAGTTCGCAATGTCAATCCAACTGTTTATGCAATATGCCATCCCATTCGTTTATATGAATTGCACTGTTTTAAAATGTCGCACGTTATAAAATTACCCATTTTGTGTATTTTTTAAATTTGGCCGAGAAGAATTTCCAACATAGCAAGTTCCTTACTCTGATGCTTGCACCAGGAGGAAGTGATTGCTCTCGCTGGAATTCTGGAATGTCGCATTTGAAAGACATTTTCTAATTTGGGTCATTATACCAGCAGCATACAATAGTCTGACAAATCAACGTTGAATGAACGTGAAACAAACCCACACCCCACCCCTACATCCTCAGTGAACGGTATTGAAGTAAACCTTTCTTCCTGTTTTATTGTTCGTAAGCCTAAACAAAAGACGTCCTAAAAAAAAACTAACTGCAAGTTCCTGAAAATTCCCCCAACAGCCCAACAAATTCTCTCTGGTCAGGAAACAATACAGTGCTTTTCCTGCCAAGCTTATGCCCTCTGCAAGTTTGTACAGTAGTCATTTTATAAGCTCGACAGATTTGCTGATAACCGCCTATCGTGAATACATTAGCGAAACCTTTCCACGAAACCGAATGCGTTATTTGAATCCTTGGTCACAAAACTGATCTGTAATTTTGCATCGCCACTAACCGTCCACTGCTCCCAACTCTCCCACTCATTTTGCTACCTCCAATGAGGAATTGAAAACATCCTGCTCAAATGAGTTCGCGTCCCTCTTCCTTCCTCCCTTCTGGGTTCCCCATCCGCCCCGCACGACTGCACTCACCCCAGTGGTGGGCGTTGCTTCCCATCCGAGTTGTCCGAAATTTTTTGTTGTATCCAGCAAGTTCACTGAAAATGCAGAACAATTCCAAACATGCACACACAGGAGCACAGACGCACATTACATACCGTTTGTTCATTTATTTGAAAAGGAGAAGCGTGCCATGACAGATTTGAATGCACTTTATGAGCTTTTTTCAAGTCATGGGACATGACTTGAAAGGCGATTTGCAAGTAGAAAAATCTGGTTATTGGACACTGGTTCGTGGTTTCATTATTTCCTCGTTAAATCTACACATGCTATGATGCATCTGCCTTGCAGTGGGAGGTACCCCAGAAGATTATTCAGTGTACACCTTCGCCACGGTAATTACAGGTTCATTGCTCAGTCAGGTGTGTTGATTGAGGCAACACGTGCTCATTAATCCTTACAGGCGCCCAGTCCTACAGCTATTGGTGGTGATTATCCTAAAACAACGCACTAATCCTCTAGGGCATGGTCCTTTGAAAATCAGTATGGACCTCTCTTGGTCCGGGTGACTATTTCACACAAAATCCCATTAATTAAAAGGAATAAACAAAAATCGGATTTTGAAAAATTAAAGAATCATACAAGTTGGGAAAACCTCGTAACTGCCTGCGCTTCCAAGTACAAGATGGTCCAGATGTCTTGTGCCCGCCACCCCCAATGAATTGATCCCTAACATTGTTTTACCTTTGCTTATTCATTTCTATTTTCACACCCAATGGTTTCCAATAATATTACGTTTTAGAGGATTAAATGCGGGTCACAATACATCTGGAACACTATGAACAGTCCTCCATCTGACTATTTGCATCTCCGTTTCTTGAAATGAATTCTGAAAAAGCTGCATTTTGCCCTGCCTCGAGCAAGTACTGACCTCCCTGCCTTTATTTACCTTAGACCACCATGGGATTGTCTCCGTCGTTTATAATGATGCCAAAGCAGCAAAATAAAATTACACAAACCGTTTGACAGATCAAAAACCAATGCATGCAAAATTAACTGTTACCATTGTACTCTATGAAAATAGATTAAACCCTTTTTTTGTTATAAATGTAACCGTTATGTAACACTACACAGCATACAATTTTTATTAGAGCCTTTGATTTTGTAATGAAGCTAAGGAATGCAAAGTTAGTTGCTGGCCTTAACCAATTAAGAGCAAAGTTCGCTGGAATTAAAGGTCACAAAAGCGCACGGAATAATAAAATTTAACAGGCGAGTTTCCATTCCAGTTTCCAGGGGTAAACTATCCACGCAATATATATGGAATGACTTTACATCAGAGCCTTAGTTTCATACTTTATACAGCATTTATTATATTAATAATAATAATAAAGGCATTAATATGGAGAAACTCGGTGGCTTTCTATTTCACTCAGGGTCTCTCTCAATGTGTAATTTAGTTTTTACAGCAACTTATTCTCAGAAACACGAGTGAAAAATTCCACAATTATTTTGCTGAAATGCATTTTACAGCGGCTTCCATATATACATACATAATTGAAAATCACAAAATAGTATTGTCCACATTTTGAAATGCACTCATCTGCAGTATTTACTGTAATGAACAATACCAATTAATTTCACGAAAGTCAGCTCTATATTGTAGGTGGTAATTACATTTTCCAGTTGATGATCCGAGTTCCATTTATATTTCTGGCATACTTTAAAATATCTAATGAGCAAATGGCAGGGCAAAGTAAAAAAAGAAAGAGGGAGTGAGATAAAGGGCCAGATAAAGACGGTTTCAACATCACACCAGTGCCTCTCGAGGTACGATTAGAGCATCAATGAATGGCACTTCATTTGAGCAAATGTGATCCGGGAAAGCGAAACAGGCATGAGCCAAATTTGCAAAGGGTATAAATTCTGCATTGGGTCTTTGATGGACGGTTTTCTCCCTTCACTGACTCACTCGCTTGACAAGTCTCAACGGGCACTCGACACCAGATCCCGATGTGGCTTTCATCCCCAGATCACAACACAAAACCTCAATATGCGCACGTTACTATTTGTGGCATACCATGCAATCATTTAACACAAGTCACGTGTTACAAGCACACGACACTGTGGAGTGGCGGGTGAGCAATGGTGCAGTGGTTAGCGTACTGGGCTCTGATCCTCAGCGACCCGAGGTTGTTAGAAGCTAGATCCTCGGTCACGGCTAACACCAGTGGCGAGTGATACGTGATTCAGGTTTTCGCCTTCCCCTCCCCCACTCCCTCCACGCACCTTCACCAACCCGCATGGTGAAGTATGGTCGGCAAACAACCCCTATGACTGACACAGTGTGCTGAGCCGGGTCTTCATCCAGCAGTAGATTGACGTTATTTACAGGGGAAAATGAATAAATAATTTCCACCACGAATCTAAAAGAAACATTTAAAGTACAGGATGGTCCAGATGTTTTGTGACTCCCAATTCGTTGATCCCTAACATGTTTTTTCCTTTGCTTATTGATTTCTGTTTTCACACCCATTGGTATAGAAACACATGAAGCGTCAGGGAATGAAACGGGGGAGCAACTTCATCTGGACTCCCTTGTACAATGCATCTATACTTGGCATGTCAAAGACACATTACGCAGATTTATTTTCAAGTTTACAATACCGTATACCCTGGCTGCTCAATAAAAAGCAAGTGGAACAAAAAAGTTAAGTATCGATGTAGGTTTAAATTGGTACGTTCGTGCCAATTTAAACTACTGCATATCACGATAACGTAAGCCTTTGAAAAAAGCCATTATTTGTGATAATCACGTGAAGAAAAAGAACCTCTTCACCTGGATTGAGCCAAAGAGCCACGGATGGCCATGCGCCCGAATTTCATTGCAGCTTAAATTATAACGCGAAATCTCTCACATTCTCACGCGCCCGCAAGCGTCGAATGTCCGTGTCCTTGCTAACGGCCTCCGGCGGAGGAAGAGGAGACCGTGTCCACGTGCGTTTACGATTCGCCATCAGCCATGTCCAATCCACTGCTGGATGATGGCACGCAACAACCCACCTAGCAGGTCAACTGCATGCCGACCAGTTTCACCGCTACATATCCGAGGCGCGTGAGTGTACTGCGTTTAATAAGCCCCCAAAATAAGTAGTATACTGCAAGTAACATTAGTAAAATAGATTGCCGTGGTGAGTGTGTGTGTGTAGATCAATAAAATGATGTGTAATATATGATATAAACAGGTTATGATTATTTTCGTTTGGTCACAATTGCAGGTAGGATGAACAACAATGGTATCAAAGGACGGCATTTATCTAGAATGCACATGCATATTCTTTGGGTCTTTCGGTAAAGTCACGTAGATGGTTCAAAGAAAATAACAAAAAGCTCATCCTGATGTCGATCGCTTGTTTTGTGATCGAAACGTCGTAGTTTTTACAAATCTTCTATGAACCATCCACGTGACGTTACCGAAAGACCCAAAGAATATGAATTCCTGCAGTCACGAAAGCTTTAAGTCAAGATTGAATACACTCGTACAGAAAACGAAGCCTCGTGCATACGCATCACCTGCCTGGCTTAAACAGATAACAATCACGGAAGCAGAGTTAGAAAACTGTATCAGTTTAGCCAGATACCACTGACAATGTTTTGTGTTTAGTTTGCTGTACTCCCCCCCCAACACCCCCGATTCGCACGGTTGGCTACGTACGGTGCGAAAGAAGTTGAACACACGCAAGGCTTGACACAATGCGGTAGGTTGGACATCAGGGAATACAGCTATGCAGATTACAACCTGTGCAATAGGGTACATTTCTAACGATGTTAAGGTAGCAAATTAATGTAGCACGTAACATTCAGCTGCTGAGATCGCATCATCCATTGGGGCAAATGTGACTAACATCCCGCTGTCAATTATAATGGTACTCTTAACCGCTGGAGCTCTATTGTTGAACTTTGTACATTATTACGTGTTTACTTGGCGAAAGCGCATTCAATTAAGCATGACCGTACTGGTGATTTTTTTGTATATTTACATCGTATATCATTGTATTGATACCCCCCCAAAAAAACCAAGCCTGGATGGAACATTGGCGCAATGCGCTATGAACTCCTCCTGCCAGAGTTGGATTACCAGGTCCTAGCCCCCCAACACCCCAACTTCCCTAACAAGGCAGTGACCAGCGTGGTGAAGTATGATCACACAAGCTCCCCCGTGATCAACCTTGCGTGCGAAGACTTTAATCCAGCAAGTAGCTGCACAAACCGCTGACATTGCTCCGATAATGATTGCGCATTTCGTGTGAGAGACGTCAACAGTTGCGAGTACTGCAATGTTTAAAGCGCAGGCGATTATGTTCAGATGACAGACGATGATGACGACTGTGAGGTCAGTAGCAGTGATCGTGATGATGGTGACGGAGTGATGCGCCATCAAACACGTACCTTCATTCGGAGGGTATGCGTAGCAGCAAGGGCTGGCGAGAATTACAACAGCGATGGAGAAAGAATGCGTGATGAAGGAAGAACGCATCATCTTTGCTGGAGGAGGCTTGGGATTTAACTTCCACGCGACTGCTCGGACACTTAAATCGAGACTTGTCTAATTGACTCTCGCCGGGGAACTCCCCCAGTCAATCAATCGGTCTGAAGTTAAGATGGGGACCCTTCTTAACACGAGAGACCACAGTGGGGGATCTTCAAGTGACGGTGACAATGGTGGTGGTGATGGGTGGTTCGTCTGTGCTGACTTCTTCTTATTGGCGGTGGTTCTTGGTGGTCGGACAAGTGGAAGTGTGGTGGTGGTGGTGGTTGTGGCGGTGGTGTCTTCTCGTGTGAGCGAGCTTGCTTGGCGAGTAAGCCGAGCCGCGCACTGGCGCTGCTGCCTTCTTGAGCGAGCGAGGGTTTAACCCACGGCGTCACCACTCGCCAGTGACTGAATGAATGAATGGAATGATGGGGGCGTTTCACTCCCATTGGGGGCGGACGTTCCAAATATGGGCAAAGACACTCCCAGTTAGCCCCCGTCCTCCCTCCACCCCATCTGAGTCTGGACCCACAGGCAAAGATAAAAGACCCCCTCCCCCCCCCATATTAGCCTAGACGAGAGGTCGGCAACTCAACAAAAAACTTTTTTTTTAAATAAGTAAAAAAAAACCCTCAATACTGTATTTCAAGAGCCGCAATGCATATGAATAGGAGACGGTGGTGCTTAATAAAGAAATAATGTCACGGACTGCCATGGTCAACTGGACTCCCATGGTCAACTGGACTCCCATGGCCAACTGGATTTCCATGGTCAAATGAACTCCCATAGTGAACTGGACTCCCATGGTCAACTGGATTTCCATGGTCAACTGGACTGCCATGGTCAACTGGACTCCCATGGTCAACTGGACTCCCATGGTCAACTGGACTTCCATGGTCAATTAGACTTCCATGGACAAAAAGAGCCATATTTTTCTTATTCGGAAAAAAAACTCAACATTTCAAGAGCCGCATGCATCTCCGGAGCCAGAGGTTGCCAACCAGTATTTGGCTGCTCTACATTACCACACGATGAGCCACTATGTTGAGCTATCATTTGCAGCTAAGTTGCCTATGCAAAACAAGTTATACAGCTCAATGGGCCTTACCTGGTCAAATTAAAATAGTGTTTTCGTAACAAATAATACTACAGTTGAAAGGGTAAAAACCTATTACTATATTTTGCCACTGGTAAAGGAGGTCTCATAGTGTAAATGCTTACCCCGAGCTCTCAATACTCTGATAGTGCACTGTCTTTGAGTTGTACGCCTTTTGGCGTCATCTGGTCCAACACCAATGGAGACTAGGCTCTAAGAAAAGCTGTCTCGGGTGTGGACCGATCAACTTCAAGGACAGTGTATATCATTATCATCATCAGAGTTGTTTCTTTTTGTTTGCATTTTGACTGCTTGTGTTGTGATTATTGCAAACATGATGCCTTGTATAAAGGTGTCAGTTTTTCTACCAGTTGAAAGGGTAAAAACCTATTACTATATTTTGCCACTGGTAAAGGAGGTCTCATAGTGTAAATAATACTAAAGTTTAGTTATGTATTATACACCAATGATGACTCAAGATTAATTGCAGAAATGACCACTGATTTACACTGGGAGAATGGGAACACTGCTATACACGTTCCTCATATTAATTATACAGTTATGAGTGGGCAGTCTAGTACACTGTGTTGCACGTGCTGTAATGTGAATTGTAGGTGTGTACACTGTATTATTTTAGTTGTATCCGCTGTACGTACGCATGTGCGTGTCATAATAATAATGTGTGGAAGTCCAGACTGCTGCATTGCAGATCCGCAAGTCTTAACTGCCCTTCCCTTCCTTGTTTCGACAACAATCGGAGCCCTCTGCAGTGGATTACTCGGTATATTATCCTAAAACCGCATCCCCTATTACATGTTGTGCATTGTGTGTGCATTCGACGCTAGTAAATGTCTGCAACACGCTATGGGATTATCTATTGTGAATTGAGTTCTGTGTTTTGGGGTTAGACAACTTCCAAAATAATTCTTGGCATATATACAACAAAATAAAGCATATCTCACTATTTCTAGATTTGAAGCTTTCGTGACTGCAAGGAGTCATATTCTTAAGTTTTTTTCGGTAAAGTCACGTAGGTAAAACATTAAAATTAATAAAAGTAAAATAAAATAAAAATCACGACGTTTCGGAGGCTTGTGTTGCCTCCGAAACGTCGTGATTTTTATTTTATTTTACTTTTATTAATTTTAATGTTTTACCTACGTGACTTTACCGAAAAAATCTAAGAATATATCTCACTATGTATAGTCCACTAGAGCTGTAGTTTGATGTTATTTTATTTTTAAATGCATGGACTGCAAAACGGATCTAAAACAAAGCTTTTGTGTCAGTATCCTGTTAATTTTCAAAGTTGGCTGACACAGTCCGAACGGACGACGGAAAATATTTCATCTCTCGCTAGACAAAGCGCTGCTTGTTGAGCATCACGATTTGGCTCGTTGGCCATGTTTGGAATGTGGTGACATAAAACACTGTGACTTATACATACAAATTTAAACCAAATCTGACTTGAATCTTTACATGGTATTTATTAAGAAAATGCTTTATGTAGTCATTTACGGAAATGTAGCGGATTAATAGACTACGCAGGATCATAATTATAACATTGATAATTCGTGATATTTCAAGGCGTCTAATAGATACATTGAAATGTTCAGTTCGTGAATCATCTGACATTTGGAAAAAGACTCGAGCGAGGCACAGCAGACATTTTAATCATTTGACCTCTCTAGCCAGTATCAAAATATAATAGGTTTTCCCCTTTCTGGCTATAAAACAGCTCTTAAGATATTAAAACACCAAACTGAACCCTTTTGCAAGGAATCATGTCTGCATTAACCACATATACTTGTGGTGAACATGCAAACAAAAATATACTGTGGTAGTATATACATTTACGTTTTATTGACAGCAATGGGAAAACCTATTCTCATATGTTGATACAGGCAAGGGAGGTCCCGAGCTCTCAATGCCCTGAGAATGGCATTGTTTTTGTGCTGTTCGCCTTTTGGTGTCATCTGGTGAGGTCTCACACTGTTTTGAGACGAGGTTCTAAAGAAAGCTGTCTCTGGTGTGGACCAATCAGTTTCAAAGACAATTCATATACTACCACAGCGTGCTTTTTTGTTTGCATGTTCGACAAAAGTATATGTGGTTAGTGCAGACATAATTGCTTGCAACAGGTTTCAGTTTGGTGTTTAAACATCTTAACACCTGTTATATTGCCAGAAAGGGGAAAACATATGCTTACAATCATACATATATAAAAACATTCGGAGATTATGATGTTTTACTAATGTTCTGTATTTTCAGGAATGGGAAAATACAAGAATAGTTAATCAACATGCAATAAACGACATCTGTTCTAATGAGCCACTTAAAAAGGGCTTTCGACTAGATCCTCCAATGTGAAAGTAACCAATTCTCTCAATACACATCGCCATCTAGTGGTTAATTATCACGAGCCATCAACTTGGCCTTGGAGCCAATTGCTCTCAACTGTGGCGAGTGATGTGAGTACGTACTGTAACTCTGTAAGTGCTGTATTGTAGGTACTGTTGCTTTAACACGTACATTACACCAGTTTGTATGAATCTAATCAATTTGTTTTTACCTTATTAGTATTCTTGGTTGTAGCGGCAATGCTAGTAGCTACCCAGCTTATATATAATTTCACATCCCCTGTTTTTTAAGTGCTTGTAACATTTTCTTGGTTCTTACGGTAAAGTCACGTAGAATGGAAATAATAAAATAATATGTTTTTTATTTTTTTACTTCCATTCTACGTGACTTTACCGAAAGAACCAAGAAGATGAATCCCTGCAGTCACGAAAGCTTTAAATCGAAATTTGCTTGTAACATTGTGTTAGCGATTAACACAATAGTGGACACTGCAAGTTAAACATGCAATGGTCATGTGAAGTTGTGGTCGGTGTGACGTGATGCATGATCAACAGTGCGTGGTTGTGATTTTTTTTGTCGCCCTGTAACCATGCGCTGCAGTCACAACAAAACTATTTTATTTTCCAGGTGAAAACCACTGAGCTATTCGCTCTTTTTCAGAGGTGACCAGGCCACATAAAATATCTCATTCGCGGGGCATATATCATACGTGGGAGTTTACAGTCGCCAAAAATCGAAACGCACGTTGAGAATTGTGGAGGGCAAAACCGGAGGACCTGGTGAAAAAAATCACGAGAACACGACAAACTCCAAATTTACGACAAGCTTTACACATTTACCATTCTCTTTAGTTCTTTCGGTAAAGTCACGTACGTATAACATACAATTAATTTTTTTGTTTTATTTTAATTTTATTTTATCCCTGACTTTACCGAAATAACTAAAGAGTATGGATCATTGCAGTTACGAAAACATAAGATCTACATATACCATTGCTTGCACGCTATGCTGTAACAGAGCTGAAGCTTATGTATTTTGTAGGCCTCGGCGATTTTCAATCAATCCCCATTGGGGCCGTCCATAAATGACGTCACGCGATTTTGGACGATTTTTACCCCCCCCACCCCTCGTCACACGGCTTCAAATAAGACGTCACAAAGCTCTGCCCCCCCCCCCCCAAAACCATATTTGAAAATAAAACATGCTCCAAATCGCTTTAAACTATTGTCATTGTATTTCGATTTAAAGCTTTCGTGACTGCAGGGATTCATCTTCTTGTTTCTTTCGGTAAAGTCACGTAGAAGGGAAGTAATAAAATAATAAAAATAAAACATAATAAAACAATTCTCACGACGTTTCGGCTACAACGCAAGCAGCCGTCTTCAGGTGAAGAATGGGACACTACCAAACTAGGAGCTTATATATAAGCTGCATTGGGGGTTGAAGAGCGCCTTAACAAAAAGAATGTGCATGTGAAGAGGGATTTAGCATATTCATGGAAAATGCGTAGGCGTTGGGCGGGGGGGTGTCAAAGTCATATTATGCCCATGCATTATGCAGGATCAGCAGCAACCAAGGGGGGTGCAGGGATTAGCAGTAACAAAGGAAAGGAATGTTAATGATATGTAGCTGCAGTTACTCAACAACACGTAGAAAACTAAAGTATAAACTACATAAAAAACTAAAGTATAAACTGCATCGCACCATCAGTATACTTACTATACTCTATAATAAGCTGAGTTACTAACAGCAAGTAATACATTACAATTTTACCTCGTAAAAATTCTATAATATGCTTCCATCTAAACCTTATTCTCTTACATCACACGAGCATATACCGTACTATATACTGCCATAGATAAACCCAACATTAAATTATATACTGTATTGCTGTAAACCAACCTATATCTTATACATGTATAAGATATAGGTTGGTTTAC